GTTCAAATCAGCCAGACAACAACACACACACGCAGATGACTGAACAGACACAAATCTCCAACTCTAGTTACAACAAGCACAGTCACAAGCTGATGCTTTGAATAAGTAACGACATGGTGGCAGAAACATGAGCAAGACGTGCAAGAGCGAACTGCAAGGCACTCTGACCACCTGCCAGCTGATTGGTCAGGAAGAGAAGGCAACACATGGACTAAACAATGCCTTAGCTCTGCCAAAGACTACTTTTTGCAACAGACTATTTTCTGTCTGCTGCAAAAGACAGAAAACACATTAATTGGACAGGAGAGTGGTTAGAAAGTCACTTCTACCACATCTCTATAGAAACAGAAATTTCAAATGGAAAACAAAGCTAAGAGTCGTTCTTTTATCTGTCGGTATGAGCAGCTACCTGTACGACCATCGGCTGTAGACCGGATGAGATCCTTCAGTCTTCATGGACTCCATGGTTGCAAATATCTGAATGCTAATCCAGGTATTTTCCTCCAATGATGAAGAAACTTTCCCTCAAACTTGTGGTTAAACTTTCTGCTCTGCCCAATCCACATACACAAACACATTCGACCTCTATGCTCCGAGATCTCTGGCAGAGAAACGGCAGCTCCGCTAACTTCCACCCATGGGAGTGACAGTTACCCAGCACTAAGGTAGACTGAGGTTGTGAGGCTTGTGCTGTTACCATGGCTTCTCACTTCAGACAATGCACAAGAAGCCAAGATGGAATTTGTATGGAAGTGACAGCACTAAATGTCAATGTATTAAAAAACAACAACCTAAAAGACAGAAAGTGCCTCAGCACGATTCTTTCAAGTATTTCAAGGCTACTGTATATAAAGATAGAAACATAAAGTAGCTTATAATTGTGAAGAGAAAGGAGAAGTATATATACTGTAAGTTTCTGACAGATTCTAGCGCATCTATCAAACAACAGATTATCATTTTGTCTGGCATCTTTTAAAAATGCTACATTTGAAAGCCGGGCTGGAACAATTAATCGCATGAATTATGATTAATTGATTGCTGAAATAATCGTCAACTAATTGAGTAATCAAGTAATCATTGACTGGATTATAAAAACTCTGAAAACTTGCAATTTGCGTAAAGATTGACACGACCAATCTGTACTAAAATAATGCTAAGTTATTGCATTTTAGGAAGCAAAATGTTTATTTTCTTATTTATTTAAGGAACTGAAATTAGCATTTTTAATCATTTATAAAATAAGCTTTGGTAGTTTAATGAAAAATCTGCAGAAACTGCCAATTTTTTATCCAGTAAATTGTTTGAATAAATCGAGTAACTGCAGCACTATTGAAAAGTTGTGGCACTTTAAAACTACAAATGTCTCCCAAAAATGTTTCCCCTTTCAACATTTTTACAGCTCAATTGCCTGCAGAAGGTTTTCAGGTCTGTCATTGTGATGCTGGAAAAGTGCATGCCTGGTTTCTAAAGGGAATGCAACCGATAGATTCCCCTTTTCTAAAAAACATTATGTATAACCATAATCTAGTTGCTAGGAAACCAGCGTCTCCCTATTTTAACACCTATTTACCAAAGTAAGAAAATGGGTGTACGTTGTGTGTGTTTGTTTAAAACTGTATATAAGTCCAGCAATGATAAGCGTGGGACTCTTTCACCAGAGGGAGTAATTATTGAACTCCAAAACAAACGACGTGCAAGAGTTGATAATAATACCGGTTCCCACAGGAACCCCGAAGCATCACCTTCCACCGCCGACTCTCCAGCAGCAATCCTTTGCTGTGCTTTGTAAGCTGCTGATTACCGACGGCGCTCTTTGCAAACTCCTTCCTGGAACAGTGACTCGCCACGGCAGGGAACCAAAAATGTTTAACAAAATTTACATAGTTCTCCAGCAGTATGCTTAAGAAAATACCGCAAATTTTACACAACTCTCCAGGCATTTGAGAAAGAGCTTCGTCGGGTTAAATGTGTGTGGGGTTTGCATAAATAGACCACTAGACCACAAGTCATAGTTTCAGCTGCCGAGGTACACCACTGTCCGAGTTCAGATATTTCAAAATGATTTACACAGTGGTGCAGTTTCAATTTCGAGGATAAATGGAATAAACTGCTCAGGATTCAATGCAGAGGCCGTTTTACTTCCTGTTTTTTTCTCTTTTTTTTGTTCGTAAACTGCAGTTTAACCAACACCAACAAACTACACCAACCTTCCACTTTCATCTCTTGGCTGATGTAAGCAGTTCCTGCAATACTGCATAGGAATGCTGTTATGAAAACTGTTGCTCTTTAAACAGCTCATCCCAGCATGCACAGCGTGGGATCTGTAACAGCAGAAAATCTGCCAAGTTTCTCAGCATTCAGCAGCTTAAATGTAAGAACCCCAGATTCAGTGTCAAATATTTCACAGTGAATATCAGAGAATCATCGATGGCGTGTTTGTCTCAAGACTCTATGACAGGGTTGCAAGAGTTGGAATGAAAAGCAACATCCATCCACTTCTGGAAAAACTGAAGCAGCCATTTGTGAATTATCACACAAGCTGACTAGTTTGGGTGAGTCCACAGAGCGGTGAGCGATCCAGCTGGTATGCTGATGAGAGATGTGTTTATTTCTGTTATGATGACAAAAAGCAACACTGAAGAAACACAACAAAACACATAAAAAAATATCCAAGATGGTAGCATCTGTATGTCAGGCATATAGCAAAAGTCTTCCTGAAGAGATTAGATCACAAACTTGCTTGAATCCTAAACTGGACTGGCACTGCAACAGGAAACAATTTGAAGTTACTTTGATTTCTACCAGCAAAATAAAAGACGCAAGTCTTGTGCTCCACAGCTTTAATTGCATACAGCTCTCAAAACAATAGAGCTCTCATCACAAACTTTCTAACTCATCCAAAAACTTCCCCTCAATCTGATCAGGTTCATCTTAGAACTGCACAATAATTTCAATCAAAATCATCACAGTATCATCACAACTGCAACGGAGTCCTTGGATGTGATATTTATTAGATTTTAAAGTTTCAGATGCCTTGCATTCAAATTGTCTAGCCAATAATATATTTAGGCAGTTGAATGAACTTTCAATGACTTTTGAGCCCTCATCTGATAGACATCAGTAACAGAGATGCCAAAAACTTGGCAAACGATTGTGGACATTGAAACAATGGAAGGGAAAGGGAGGAGGGACAAAAAAGTGGCTTAAATGTAAACACCATTATCAATGTGGTGTTTCGCAATCATATTGTGCAGCCTAATTAAACCTGATTAAATCGTTTCAAACGCTTTGGGGTTTTTTTTCCATTTCAGTGCCAGCAGATTTAGCACGTTCAATACCTACCCTTTATAAAATTTTCTTTTACTTATTTTGTGAAGTTGAGGTGACATTTTAAACATTTATCTAAGACTTTAAATAAGTGAGGCACAAAGTAATGGAATTAATATCTTTGCCAACTTTCATCAATTTTTGACATATCGTTATCGGACTGTAAAGTAAAACTCTACATTTTTCACAGTAGAGAGGGAGGGCAGGGAAATATACATAAATAATTTATACAACAATTTGTTTATCGGTCATAACAGCAAGAATAACATCTAGCATGGATATCAATCCTAATTTTAAAATCAATCCACTCCTACTACTAACTGTACAGGTTGGTTTGCATGTTTATTTTACAAATATATCAGTTTCTTGTTACTTTATATTTTGGGGGGGAAATTTGTAATTCTCATTATTAAAAAAAAAAAACGGTTTTTTGCACAATGCAAAAAGCAATATTATTATAATCTCACAATTTTCCTTGAATGAGTGCGTGTAACACATTTTTGTTTTTGAATATACTCTAATTGACCTAGATAATAATTTGTGAATTTAACTGCTTACTGTTCACAACAAAGAAAAACCCTTCTGTACTCAAAGGCATGTTCAGACATGACAAGATTCTTTTCTCTCGAAATCAAAGCTCCAGAACTTTGAGAATGTTTTCATATAATCGCTTGTAAAATGCATTTACACGCACTAGGTAATTAGAAAGTGACTGAAATATAAAACTGTGAATCAAAATTTCTTCCCAAGAATAAAAAATAGATCCACTCTTTGGTTTAAACAAACTACTAACAACATTCTTGCGTTTTACTTTTGTCGAGTAATGTAACAATCAAAACACAATGTACAATAGGGTATGTCCCACAGTGTTTGCACTTTTTATAGTTCTTCCTTCATTTTGTACAAGAACGAGATTTTTTTCTTCTATTCTTTCTTGTCAATAATGCTAGAGAAGCGATTTTACGGGTAAATATTGCTACGGTTCGGAAAATATCCCTCTATTGAGTACAACTATTGATTAAAATAAGATATATTCACACCGAAAAAAAACCAATAAAACGCAACTGCGTCTTAGAAAACCAGTGACAGGATGTTAGGTATTAATGGTTACCGTTACAAGCTAACGTTAGCTGTTTCTGTCTCCACTATACGCGGTGCTGCTTATGGAAAAGTTGAAGGCGACTATTAAGTTTTTTGTGCCAATGCAAATATGTTACCAACACTCGGATTCAGATCTAATATTTGAAAACACAGACGGCCTCCGAACACAACCCGAAAGCAACGTTATGAATTCTGCTCACCTTATACTGTAGTAACTCATGTTTGAGCGCTGTTGCTAAGGGAAGACCATCCGGAGGGACTTTTTCTTGGACGCTGTTGTCGAGAGCGCTGTTACCCTGTCCTTAGTTACCGACGTACCAAGAACCCGCCTTCTCATTGGTCCGCTCTTTCTTTAGGTGGGATTTAATTGGATGGCATTCTGAAGAGGGGCGCAACGTCACGGCTGGTTTCGTATTTTGATTTTTATTATGAAATATTCGCCAGACAAGTCAAAGATGAGTCACGAACTCAAAACAGAAAATGTATCCAAAGGAAATGATCATTTTAGCGTGAGTTGGGTTGTTGGAGGAACAAGTGCATTTTTAATAACTTTATCTCTGAAATGTTTACAAACTCATTAGATTACAAGAACCACACGACAGTAATATGAATAATTTGGAATCATTCAAAATTAAGTAACAATTTTATCTGTACTTTTGAAAACAATGAGTAGAATTTTATTTTTTATCAAAAAAGTATATTTCATACCGTTTTTAATAGTGTAGCTTCATACAAGGTTGCACATTTAATAGCAGTTACAATGCATTTCAAATCAACAATGCCTTCAATACAATATTTTATATAATTTAAATTATAATTCATTTAATAATTATACATTGACTAAAACTTGAAAATAATGCTGTGTCTTTCATATTCTGTTTTGCAACAGCTGAATAAGATTTATGACAGTCACAGAAGAAAAATGTTCTTTAAGAAATTATGTATTACGAGTTATATTTGGAATGGGCAAAATATTGGTATATGTGACAGTAAAATTTTAAAGTAAACATAGTTATATGTAGATAATAGTCTGAATCAGTGCTGTGTAATTTGTATTTTGCAGTTGGTAAAATATGCTTTGTCTTCATTTATTACAGTAATATACAACAGTAATCTAAACAATAAATCAGAATGGATAAAAAGAAATGACAAAAAAAATTAGCAATGAATTAGTACATCTGAGTCAGAAAGGAAGCCCCTTTCTTTTAACATCAGCATCAGCCCCTTTCTCCTCCTCCATGTCACCTTCACCCCATAGTCCCTCTCTGGTGTGTCAGCCACCAAGGTTTCAGGTGGGCCTCTGCATAGTGATGTACATGGCTGAGCAAACAGTAAAAATCTGGGGGAAGAAGAGGAATGGTCGACCTCTTCCCACATCCTTTCTGGAGTGTCCACATCAGGTGGTGGGCAAACACTGCTGACTTCAGTGGTTATCAACTTAGTGGAGGTAGGTGTTGGAATTCTGCATCTACGTGTCACTTCTTCAGATTGAACTCCAAGCTTATTCACACTTCTACTGTGGGAGGCAGTGCCATCAGGAAGTGTTTCAGCATTCCTTTTTCCAGCTGTGGCAAACAGCTTTTTTGGAGTGTCTGAGTAAGCTGAATTTGCAGTCGGTTTGCTGTGGCAAACGGTTGCACGAGGTTGATTTTTGACTTTAGATGCTGCACCTTTTGTTGTGGTTGTTGTCCTTGACTGTTTCTGAGACTGGTCCTTTAACGGAATGTGAAATGACAAGGAGGGGTATTTGAATGTGTTGTTTTTTCTGGACAATTGACTACATCGGTCAGGTAAACTTGAGGTTTTCTGCCCATTTCTCTTCCCTCGTCTCTTTGGAGCTGCAGCTGCAGATGAGCAGTCAAACTGTGGGTTTACCTGAAATTTTGAAACATTAAGTTAAATGGATGATACAATAAGAGTTGCAGTAATCTTATACAGCTAGTACTAACATGGCCATGGGTTGCACATCAAGAGTCTGTGTCCAAACTCAAATTATCAGAGAACCAAGTTCACTATGGATTTATGGTGGATATTTCAGCAATGGTGAAGATTTAAATATAATAAAAAACTTATTTTAAAAAAACTTGTCTAGATCTAAAACATCCCAGAATTTTCCATACCTATGCAGGTTATGTATAAACCCTGGCAGGTATAAATATATTTTGCTTAATTTTGCAAACTCCAAAATCAAGCTGCGTTTTATAATGATTTAACAGATCAAATCCCCTGTGACTCCATATGATCATTTGTAGTAATGGACTTTGATTTGGATGCATTTTTTTCCACCAAAGTGCATCTTTTAAAAGAGTAAACAACAGAACTTACCCACGAATTAAGATCTGAGCTGTTATGCGTCAGTGACTCCGGAAAAAAGTCCTTGGGGTTGACTGCAGCTCGGACTTCAGGCGCATGTTGAAGTTTGCTTCCACCTACAGGCCGTTCGATAAATTGCAGGGCAGGCGTATCCGCCTTTATGGCTTTGCGGGGCATTAATATAAATCATTCCTGAAAATCTAGAGGAAGATATGTCACAGAAGGTAAGCTAGAATAAAAGTCCACACGGAAATATCAAACGTTAACGTTTTAGAGTGTCAATTACAGTTTCAATACATTCAAATGTTTTCATTTCAAGCGCCTACTTCTATATTCTTCCTTCTGTCACGTTGTTCTTTGCGCAAGACATCGTCTTCATAATTAACATGTGTAAATAAACCTCAGTTATACAATTTGTCTGTCCTGCTCCGTTTTCTTGTTGTCTTGTTTGGCATTGTTGTATTTCCCGGTTTTCTTCTTTTTCTTCCTCGATTAGAATCCCAACCTGCAGTTACATTACTGCCACCTAGCGATGGTATCCCCTGGCTTCTTATTGGTTAATATTTACCACGTGATAAGCGTGACGTCAGGAGGCAGCGCCCACAGCGCCAAAATTCAAAAACGTCTCTGAAGCTGAAGATATGTAAATAATACTTTATTACATGGTTTTTGTCTCAGTTACAGTGGATTAATCAAAAACAACAACTATGAATGCAATTTCTCAACTTCGCCTCGGGGTTCAGCCAAGTGGGATCGCCTGAGACTTTGCAGTAATATGAAGGTTTGGATTCATTTTTATGAAAGTAGCCTATTTAACGCTCTGCTACCCTGGCAGTTATGCTAGCCGGTCCTTTAAAAAGAGAGACATATCCTCCGAATACTTAATTATATGTGCATAAATTGTTAACTAATGAACATAAACTTTAAATGTATTCCAATTAAACGGTAAAAAAGATGTGAAATTAAGAAACGGTTGTTCTAGAAGGCACAGGTCGCTAAGGAAACAGCAATTGCAACTGAGCAGTTATTGAGCGACTGAGTCGACATAGCGACAAAAAGGGTTTGAATTTCACACAAAAACACATATTCTGTTTGATTATTGTGACTCCTAGAGTATTCACGAAAGTGCTTTTATATTTATTTTTGTGTTATTAATGTGGAAAGGTTATTATCCAGTCTGAACCAACCCCACTGACTAACCTCGATGTTGTCAGTTTTCTTCCGGTAGTATTGAACGTTGGTCTAGCGGTGATTTTAGGTAGGAGTAATATTTAAAAAATTGAAATGTTTATTTTTAGAAAACATACTGAACGTGTTTTACGCATGTTTTTATTTACATGTCTAATTTACTGTTTGCTGTTTTTTGCACAGCAATCTTGTGAAAGGTAATTTTAGCGATCTGACCATGAGACGGAGCCCAAGGAGACCCCTGATTCTGAAAAGAAGAAAACTTCCATTTCTGCTAAATGAACCAACTCAGGCTAACAAGCAAACCCAGCACGGTGCAGCAGTCTCTGGGGAGCCGGCTAAACCAGCAGCCAGCCAATGCCTCCCTCATGGCATCCCCATCATGAATCACCCCTCCATGTCTGACACTCAGGTGGTTGTCATCCCTAAAGAGGCAGATCTGCAAAGCATCATCGGTGTGCTCACTGCAAAGGGAAAAGAGAGTGGCGTCCAAGGCCCAAACAAGTTCATCCTGCTGAGTGAGAGTGGCAGCAGGGGTAATGGATCTTTCTGCCAGGCTGCTGTCAAAGAGGAGCCATCCCCTGCAGGAAGTACAGCTGCACAACCAGTGAAGTCAGATACTATCCACAATATGCCAGATGCTAAACCTCTCACTGGAAATCAGTCAAGTATGTATGAATGAAGAGCTGTAGCTTCACCCTCGTCCATAGCTCCCTCTCCTCCCATTAATATTCCATTTTAATGTGTCAATTATGTAAATTGTTCTCTCTCCTTTATGCATCAATGAACATAGGTGCAAGTTGCAGTCCTCTAGATGACAGCCTCACCAATATCCAGTGGCTGGGCAAAATGAATACCAGTGCCTTGGAGCCACACCTTGCAAATCAGACAACTGACAAGGAGAAGAAGCTTCAAGCACCGCAGATTTTACAGGTCAGCCTTGTTTCTGTTATTTACTTTTTCACTGTTGAAGTGGAAACAGAGCAATTGTTAGGAAACCTAGATGGAAAAGCACACAAGTCAAATGTGATTATCTTTGTCTTGCTAAGATTTTTAACTCAGCGTATAAGTTTATTTTATACGTACTGGTCTTTAAAAGACTTCAAAATGTCTTACATTTTTAGAAACGTGCAAAAGCAACACATCTGTACAATTAAAATATTTTTAATATAACTTATGCTCTATAACTACAGGATCATGGTTCAGATTATGGTGTTTGATTTGAAATTCACTTTAAATTTTGATTTTAGTTACATTTCATTAGAATTGCACTACATACCAAATTGCAAACATCAATCTGACATCAGTGAATGCAATATCGTCATCACAAAACAGTCTGGAAGTATGAGTGTATTTTTAGTGGCTCGGAGATTCAAGTTCACAAATTAGTCTCTAAGTATCTTCAATAAATGGAAATATACCTTTGCAAAAGGAATAAAGGACCAAATAACCTTAAACCAGTGATCTGGTCCTTTTACTAATAAGAAAAGCAATGTTTTTTTAATTTTTATTTTGGGGGATTGCATTCTGAATTTCATCTTTTTTACATTCTGTTTTTTCGCATAACATGTTAATTTCAAAACTCAGCAACAACAATCAATGTTTTTATTAAAATCTTAATGATATGACAAAAATTGACTTAAATTTACATGTTTAAGACTGGAATTATTATCCCTTAGTAGTTATTGGGTCTGTCTATAACTCTCTTTGCATTCTTTCAGACCCACAGTACAAATTCAAACCCAGAAGGTTCTCATCAGCCCACGTTACAGAGACCGCCGTACTCCTACACAGCCATGATCCAGTTCGCCATCAACAGCAGGAAGAACAGAGGCATGACGCTGAAAGAAATTTACACATGGATCGAGGACCATTTCCCTTATTACAGAGAAGTGGCCAAACCGGGATGGAAGGTGATTCAGAAAACTAACAGAGGAAATTAGATTGCATCTCAAAGCAAAACAATGAAGGATTTCACTGGTTTTGTTCCTTTGCAGAATTCAATCCGCCACAATCTTTCTCTGCACGACATGTTCATCCGTGAGCGGTCGCCAGATGGTAAAACCTCTTTCTGGACAATTCGACCAGATATCAATCGATGCCTGACCCTTGATCAGGTTTACAGGGTGAGCATCACTATTTTCACGTACATGTTGCGTTTATTAAATAAGTAAACCTGTTTTTCTTATCTTCCATTGCCCTTTTTCTTCTTTCCTCCACTCTGATTTTGTAATATAACTGCTGTCTGATTTGTTTCTATTCTTTCTGTAGCCTTGTTGTGATCCGGGGACCGTTTCTTCTCCTGTGTCGTTGCTTCCATGCCCCCACCAAGTAAGACTGATCCACCTCTTGTTGAAGAACTATTTTCATACCACAGTTAGGCAGAGGGCGAAACAGCACGGGAAGTCAAATGTTTAATTTCTTCTGAGACCTAGATTATAAAATCTAAAATGTAGATTTTATAATGTAAAATCTATATTTTAGATTCAAAATGTAGCTGCAGCTGAAGAACTGACATCTTGTTTTATAGGTAGAAGAAAAAACACTTCATGTTTTGTCTTGTTACCATGACATGCCTCTATACTTTATTGTCCTAGACCAAAATGAAGTACTGTTTAATAAACATGTTGAGGGACAGTTGCTTTTCAACATTTATTACCAATAAATCTCTGAAAAGTGTGGCATGCATTTGTAAAAAGCCCTTTTAAAATCCAGCTCCCCTCACAGACTGAGCTGTGAGTGAGTTCAGGTGAGTTCAGCACAACTTACAAGAAACATACTCTGGCTGCCCAGTATAGAAATGCATGCCACACTTTTCAGATCTTATGTCGTTCTGTCATTCAAAAAAAAAATTCTATTACATTTCATAGACATTTGTCGAAGTGACATAACAAACTGAAAAGTTAAAGAGATCTTAAAGTTTTTGTGAGGTGCTTCATGCACCGATTGAAATGTTGAGTGTTTTTCTGTCAAACTAAAGCTGTATTGTCTAAAGTGATCCTCTGTGTTGCTTTCGCAGCATGAAAAGAAGAATATATCTGCTGTAAGAAAAGCACCAGCTTCCACGGGTCAGTTCAACACAACTTACAAGAAATGTTTGTTTTCTTTAGTGTAACTGTATGTTTCTTAAAGTGTTTTTCTGTTTGTTTTCAGAGAGGAGGATGAAACCCCTGCTGCCCCGTACAGACTCTTACTTGGTTCCTATCCAGCTGCCCATTGCCTCCTCTGCTTATCTGCCTTCCTTGTCTGGTTCTTATTGCCCATCAGGCTCTAAGCACAAACAAAATGCTTCACGAGGGACCAAGAGAGTCCGCATTGCCCCCAAGGTACACATTCGGTGTAGGCGTAGTTACTGAAAAACTACTTCAAGTCATGCTGAACATAGATGCTGGACCATATGCCTTAAAAATAACATTTCAGGTTTTAATGCAAAATTTGATCTTCAATTTTAAGTAATTGCTTTTTTTTTTAGTTACAAATGATAGAATATATCTTTTTTTAAAAACTACCTTTCATTTGAATTATTTCTTCCCTTTTTTCCTTACATTCACAGTAAACTATAGTTGAAACGTCTTCTACATAAAAAATGTGACATATCTAATTTTCCACATGAAAAGTTAGGGATTTTGTTCTGTTCTTGTCGTCTTCACAGGTGTCGGAGGGTGACAGTCCAGCCGTGGCTCTGGCTCCTCAGGTCGACCTGAAGGTGGAACCCGTAAATGTTCCGACAAAACGCGAGACACGAAAACCTCCTCCGAAGAGGCAGTCCAGCAGCTCCCGTCGTAAGCAGAGCCTGGTGAACTCTCTGCAGGACGAGCCCATCCTCCTCTGCCCCGACAACAGTTTCTTTGACTCCGGCGTCGCCTCTGACGCGTCCACCTCCCAGGACGTGAGAGAAGCTGACAGCACCGAGCAGCAGCAGCACTTCCAGGGCAGCCCTGAGCGAGAACTCTACTTCAAGACGCCCGTAAAGAGTCACAGCCACTTGAGCTCCTCCACGCCAAGCAAGCCACCTCCCAACGTCACACTTGAACCCTGGAAGGTGACGCCCGTTGGCAAAGACAGCCAAAGCGTCCTGGACTTCAGTCCTATCCGCACGCCGGGCGGTCCCGTTGTCACGCCCCGACAGGAGTACACCACCTTCAGCTTCAGCAGCACTCCCTTCAAAGAGCTGCCGCTGTTCAGCTCCCCCAGGGAGCTGCTCACACCGGCCCCCTGCAGAGCTCCACCGACAGATTCCCCCACCGAAGTGCAGCTGGCAGACGCGCCTGCCGCTTCGCCGTCCAACCGCTCCATCACAGAGGGCCTCATCCTGGACACCATGAACGACAGCCTGAGCAAGATTCTGGTGGACATCAGCTTCTCCGCCCTGGACGACGAAGACCTGGGCATCGCTAACATCAGCCTGTCAGAGTTCCTCGGTCAGTTCATGTAGCCAGGAGGCTAAAACGCTAGAAATCCGTTGTTGAACACTAAAGCGCTCACGCACCGACTCAGCAAAACAGACGCATTTCTCATCTGGTCATGATCCACCTGTTGTGTGTTTTTGATGGTTATTGCTGGAGTTGTGTGATCAATCTCAGTTTGTGGTTAGTTTGATTTCTGTCTGAATATAATTTATTAATTTCACTCCAGTACAAATAACAAGGTAGGGTATTCAGAAGGCTTCACCAAGGTTTCACCTGATGCTTTAATCGGCAAAGAGACTACACGCTCATCTTCCACTTTGTATTTGCCTGTTATTTTTTTTGTAACTTTCTCATGTTTGCACTTGCTTTTACTGTTCTGTGTGTCAAATTCTTCTCTTGCATGTGGCCCTCCTCTTTTGTCTTATCTTTTAGCCGCTCTGCATCGCTGTCATTTATAGGAGCTGCATGAGAAGAGAAATATTTAAGTGTATACATATGTTGATTTGCACATTATAATATATGACTTTCAGTTGTACAATAGATTATTTGATCACTTGGTAAACTCTGTTGTTGGGTTCAAAAGTCTTACCAGCAATTAAAAAAAAAGTATTACAAGTAGCACTAACAGCAATAGGATTGTCTGATTGTAGAACTGTTTTCAGAAATCTTCACTGTAATTATTGGATGTGCCGTTGTCAACTGAAGGGCACTTTATCTGAACAGAGGAATTTTTGTGAACTGCTCTTTTTATCTCTTAAGGGAGAAAATACAGAATATTTAGTATATGTCTTCAGTAAGAAAGATTATTTGCAGTATCATCTTTGAAGTTGAGACGTGACCTATTTATGTACCACTGAATAATGTGTGTTTTTAAGAACAGGTCCTTCTGTTGTCTCAGCTTTTTAATTTCAGCACTATGAATTCATCTGTTTATGAAGAAAGGTTGTTTTCTGAAGTAGGACTACAATAAATTCCTTAGATCCTCATAAAATTGAAGGATTTTTCTATTTAATTTCATCACTGTAACTGTGTGGTCTTTACAACGTGGCATTTGCAAGGTGTGGATGGATAACCTTTGTTTTAAATACAACTCTGTGTAACCTTAGCTTTATTATATGTTGTAGAACTGTAAAAAATATTGGCATCTTGGACAAGATGTTTTTAAAAAGATATGCCATGTATTTTATTACTAATTCTAACGTTAGCAAAGGTTTTTGTTTGGCTTACCTTGCTTGTACGATGCTGCAATTTTTTTTTTTCAGCATGAAAATGTTTTAAGACGTCTTAGGGGTTGTTGATGCTTTTTCAATGTTCTTCATACTGGAAGAAAATGTATCTTGGTAAAGCAGCAGTCAAATGCGTATATGTCTGTTACAAATATTCTTTTTAATGTTTTCTTGTACAAAAAGAAGTATTTTAGTTAGTTCGGACTCTAACGAAGGTGTAGATTGGCAGTGGAAACTTAAATGTCTTAACTGTCTTCAGTATGTCTGGACTTCTTGTTGAGCCACTTCCAGTAGGATCTGCAGCTGTTCGCTGCAATAATCTGGGAAAATGAGACATATGCACCAGTCAGATCTTTTCTATTAAATTTTGACATGCTGAACACGCTTATTTCAAGTCACATATATTCAAAGTTGAGTCACTTACAGTAAGTCATGGCACGACTTACTGAAAATGTGCATTACTCTATGTGGCACCCGAGAGCGATGGACAGTCACGTAGTAAACTGGAACTCCTGTTAGAGTGAGGGCACAGCTCCGCCCCGTGTTCCAGGGGTCCGAATAAAGCGAGAGACTCACAATGAAGAAGCAAACCACTGTGAAGGTGACCGCAATGACCAGAGGGACCTTAAGGTGGGTGAGCAGCAGGACAGATGATCAGAGTCCTGTGATTTGAAAGAAAAACAACTGAAAGACTCAGAAAAACACACTAACCTTGAAGGGCCTCGGGTGGTGGGGGAAGCGGTATCGATGGATGAGCATGCCCAAGGTTGCCAGAGCGATGAAGAACCAGCGTGAAAAAGAGGCAAAGTTGATGAGCTGGTAGATTTCCCCAGTGATTAACATCACCACCACCAATGGATACTGGAGAGACACACAATGCAGCTTTAATCTGCTACAGCGGCTAAGACACAAAAAGCCCAGCTTTCTACAGCTCTGAGAGTCGCTTTATTCCAGACCCTTCACATGTTCTTACTCCAGTTTAATACAAACTTTCAGAATGGTTTAGTGAAATATCTTAGGAGCTGAGACTCTAACATTGAGTCTGCCTTTGTTTTTAGAGAAGATAGATCAGAGGTCTTCTAGAGGGAGATTGTAAAGCTGACAGTAGCTGTGTATTGGAAGGAGAATAAAGCTGCCACACCAAGACAAGCACACAACATCCAATGGTAATTCAGTTCATGTGCTCTGTCCAGGGTGTGCAGACAGTGCAATGAAGCATGCATATTAATGCAAATTGTCTTTCTTTGTTGACAGTTTTATTTATTTAAAAAAATATATACTTTTTGCTTCAGCAGATCCAGAATGAACTAATAAAAAATTCCAAATGTTTAAAATAAAATAAAATTCTTAATTTTATATTAAGTATTTGGATGAGAAGGAGTTTTACAACTCCATCTTGAGTTACTTTAAAATGTAACTCAAGGTGAGCTTACATTGTGAAGCATGTTCTTTGGAGCAAAGTGCTGTAAACAACAGGAAATGAGTCAAACAACATGTCACTAATAACAATAATAGAAAATTAATCACATGTAATGTTAAACTTGACAAAAAATGACATGTTAATATATGTCATATTGTGTGCAGATTGGCGGATGACGATTAATAAATTAAAATGAGATTCATTCTAAAAGCTCCACACCAAAAAAATATAACAAGACTTTTGCAGAGAACAAGAAATAGAAGAATGATCAAATGCAGTTGTTATTCTTCAACATCTGTTATGATGGAACAGTTTAGTTTGATTTGTGGTTTTTGGACAGTACTGACCAGGAGGAGCACTGCAGGTAAAGGTGTGTGTTGTCGGATATGAATCATGGAAAAGATCGGCGGCCAGTGGCCTTCTCTGGCGCCCACAAACAGCATCCTGCCACCACAAATCTAATAAGTTCAGAACTGCACAGAAAACATTAAGCGCAGCCAGATTTTGCTCTCATAATACCTGGGTGACCCGAAGAAGCCGCCATTGAGAGCTCCGAGGCACGATAGAGCGACCAGAATGGGAATCACTGAGGCCAGGCCCTGAAGAGCACGGTTTGCAAACGTCTGCAGGCAAACAAACGTCACATCACAACACAGCTGTGCTAACACATTCCCTCTACATTCTTCGTCTGTGGAACATTTTGCTCTTTTCTGACCACAGCCACTGCATCCGACAGCAGCAGCTCAGCGGGCGTCATCATGGTGTAGTAGGCCACATTTACAAGCACGTAAAACACTGTCACCGTCACCATGGAGCATATTATTGCCAAAGGGATGTTTCTGAAAGCACAGGATTCACACAGAACACATGAAGGTTTCCTTTTCAACTCACTCAAAAGAATCATCTCAATCTGAGGCAAATATACAAAATACCTATTTGGATTTATTACTTCTTCTGTGACAAAGTTCAGATAAAACCTAGGAGAAGAAGGAGAAACTGAACTTTACTCTGATACCCCTAAAGAAAAACTACTACAATCAACCATTATTTGTGCACCACATAAATCTGGCCTTTAAAGTGACAAGAAGAAAACCATTGCTGGAAGAAACCCACCCATGTTTTCTCACAGGTCTTGCAGCAAACATGTGGAAGACATTGCTTCGATCAAATGAGAGCAAAATTGAACTGTTTGTTATGTGTGGTGGAAAAGTACTTTGGCAGTTTACCCTCAACACACTCACTGCAGGTTGAAACAGTGTTGGCTGTGGAAAAGTTTTTTTGTCAGCAAGGAGAGTAAATGTAGGGTTAATAGGAAAACAGATGGAGAAAACGCAGAACAATCCTGAAAGAAACACATCACAGTTATGTTCTACTTCCTGTCAGTCCAACCCATAAAATCCAATCAAATATGTCAACATTTGTAAATATAATTTGTCAAAATATAAACTGTGCTTACTTACCATCCACCATATGCGTATAAACCATTATAGAAAGCCAGTGGCAGCCTATCCAGAGTTATGGACTCCAACTCAAATCCGTTCTGGAAATTTTCTGTCTTTCCTGCATAGAGCAGTGGAAAAGTTCAAAAGTTCCCAGGAACGCCATCTTATTCTGTATTACTGATTCCATCATCATCATACCTTTTGCTAGAGCTATGACCCCAGGAATAATTATGAGTACCAGCGCAAACATCTTAATGAAGGTCAAGGTGACCTGAGTGCGGGAGGCCAGGCTTACGCTCCAGCAGTTAACTGCAACAACAAATGCTACAGAGACACACATCGCAAATTATGTCTCAACTGAATGGGAAATAATGATCCAAACATAAAGTAGGCAAGAAGGCGTGCAATACCACTCACTCACTCCGAGGATACTGACGAGTTTGATTAGCGCTGAAGGAGCAGGACAAGGTGCAAATAAAGGTTCAACAACGTAACGTCCAAAAGCTAGCGAGATGTAGGACGCCACAGCTGGTCTGAATAACAAAAGAAAAATGTAGTTATACTTTAAAGGTGTCATTCTGATCTTTCTTCAATTACCCCAATAAAAAAATAACAAAACTTATACCTTATAAAGAGGAACTCAACCCAGAGTCTTAAGAAGGCCGGTAGGGGCCCCAGTGTCTCCAGCAGATAAGTGTAGTGACCTCCAGATTTTGTGAAAGTGGTTCCGAGTTCAGCGTAACATAAGGCCCCTGAGAAGGAACAGGAAAAGGAAGACTCGTATTTACTTGTAGTTCATGTAATCTTTTCATTTTTTCAGAAAGAATACGTTTTAAAATACTTGTGTTAGTTTATAAATCACTGAACATTTCACCACCAAATTACATGAAAGATCTGCTGATTTTTAACTCAAGCCTTCTGGTTCTGCTCTGCTCTGGATCCCAGAACCAGAACCAAACATAGAGAAGCTGCATTCAGCTTCTGTCCTCTACTAGTCTGGAACAAACCTCCAGAAAACTGCAAAACAGCTGAAACACTGACTTCCCTTAAATCAGTGCTTAAAACCCACCTGTTTAGAGTTACCTTTGACTAGTAGATATATATAGTAGTATATTTGATGTTTCATTTGATCATTTCACTGATGACATTTGATGAAATGCAATATTGATTGTTTCATAACTGATGACTGAATGGTGTTTTGTGATGTAAAGCACTTTGAACTGCCTTTTTGCTGAAATGTTCTATACAAATAAACTTGACTTGAATATTGTAGATATTTTGATAATATTTTGCTTTGATACTTGTTTCCCTGCTATAAATGACTTTCGTCCCACTGAAAATATAAACTCCAGATAACTTTAGCTCCTTCAAAATTTCACCTGACTTATAAAATTCAGAGTAAATTACTAGTGCAAAGGACAAGCAGGACAATATGACATTAGATATTATTTGGCATGGAAAGACGAACAAGTTCGGATACAAAAAATAATGCAATATTTTCCTTATTGGTATATTATTATAGATGCAGAAGAAGAAGGGAAAACGAGCATGGTCTTACCAAACAGGGACAGGATGCCACACAGCGCCCACACCAGCAGAGACAGCCCCACGCTGCCACTGTTCATCAACACTCCCTTCGGAGCGATAAAGATCCCACTGCCAACCACAGTCCCAATGATGAAGGACACAGCAGGCAGCAACCCAATCTCCCTCCGAAGGCGCACCGCCTCTTCCTCCGTCTTCCCCTTATCTTGCTCTTTCTTTATCTGTGTCCTCTCCATTTTTGTGTGTGTCTGTGGGTCACTGAGCGAAACTGTAGTGGGAGCACACTGTGTAGGCCAGAACTGTTCCCACTCTCCCCCCACCCCACGTTCTCCTCTCATTGGCTCTTGGCTCACCCACCCAGGGTACAGAAAACAAAGCCAGCACTCTTCCAAGCTCCAGGAATTATTTAAAGCTAGTTCAAGTGCTTGACACTTTCCTGCATCGTAATGTTTGTCTGGGTAAATAAGCGCTGATGTGGGTGTGGACTTTTGGACTCTGAGAAAAAAAAGGTGTAGAAGCAACTGCACAGACAGCCAGAAAGCCGATTCTTACAGCATTCACACAGGGGGACACATATTTCTCACTCAAATGCATGTTTTGTAGTTCAAGTGTATTCAAGCTGATTTCATTCATGCCATTACTTTTTTTTTTTGCTGACAAACTCAAAAAATACAATGCAGATTTCATGTCCAGGCCTCAGATCAGCTCAGCTGATAAACAAAAAACAGACTGAGGCCACTTGATTAGCTTGTTTTTGCCTCTTTTCTCTCGATTGAACGCTGTATGGATGTCAGCTTCATCTCATCAACAGGAGGCCCGCTTGTTAAAATTCCTGCACAGTATGAACCGAGAGGCTCCTTCAGAGGAGGGAATGCTACATCTGCTATTTGAACATGAAAGCAACAAGAGGGAAACAGAAGATATAAAGTCATGGACGTTTATATATCTTAGCCCTTTTCTTGGATTCAAAGTGATTTAAAACAAAGTATATATTATGACAAAGGGAGTTTTCTGACCTTTGATTTGAAAACGTATAAGACTTCAAGTATAATGTCAGACTCTTATCTAATAGAAGTCTGGAAGCATAGTTTACATATAGCCCTCATAACGTTAATACCCCTAAATAAAATCATGTTCAACCAACAGCTAAGCGTGTGAAGAATAAATTAAAAGTCTTATTTTTAGTTTGAGAAAGTCATGTAACAAAGAAAAGACCAAAGTTGAACCTATTGGGTAACATGCAAATGGACAGCAACCCAGTCTCGATCCACTGTGCAAACCAAGCATCTGCCGATCTTGTCGTTCGAATTTCTACAAGTAGCATGCCTTAAGACCTGCTTAAGGCATGCTTTTAAAGTTTAACATGGAAGACTAACTGTTCTTTAAAGAGGTTGTGCTCATAAAACGAAGACAAGTTCCACACTGATTTTGTGTTTTCTTTTTGAAACCTTAGCTGGCTATGTGTTATGGGTGAGTCTAAGTTCCCGCGTAAGGCAGACTGTGCTCCGAAGCACAGTCTGCATCCAGAGAGACAACTGGAGTTTTAAAGTTTAACATGGAAGACTGACTTTGTGGTACTTGTAGAAGTTTGAATGGTAAGATCAGCAGGTGCTTGGTTGGTGCATTACATACAGACTGGGTTTTGTTTCAAGGCCTGCTTCAGGCATGGTTTTAAAGTTTAACATGGAAGACTAACTGTTCCGATGGTTCTTGGGATACTTGTAGAAGTTCGAACTGAAAGAGCAGTAGGTGCTCGGTTGGCGCACTGCGTAAACACATGCGTTGCGGTTCCGATGGGTCTGAGTTCAAGACCCGGGTGCGGAACGGTCCGAAGCACCCTCTTTATCCAGAGTGACAGCTGGAGTTTTAAAGTTAAACACGGAAGACCGACTTTGAGGTACTTTTAGGAGTTCGAGCGGCTTGATGGGTGAGTACTCTGAGTGACTCTCTCAGCACTGAGTGACTCTCTCAGCACTGAGTGACTCTCTCAGCACTGAGTGACTCTCTCAGCACTGAGAGGCACTCTCAGCACTGAGAGGCACTCTCAGCACTGAGAGGCACTCTCAGCACTGAGAGTCATGTGAGTCAACGACTCACATGACTTGGAAGCTATTGAGGAAAAATTATTAATTTTGACAATATTAAAAGAAAATAATATAAAAGAATAGCAGAATAATTTCACATTGATTTTGAATCAATAGGTCAAAAACATATTTAAAAAAAATAAAATTAAATGAAAAACATAAAAATGGTTCAAATGGTATAAAAATGTGAATATATTTTCTATTTAAGAAACTATATGTACCACAGTTACATATCGAGTGTTAAAGTATTACAGTAGTAGTAATAACTTTTATTACTTTTAATACTGAATCTACACTTCTCAAAAGTGGAGTAAAGTTTCTCTGCAGCTTTAATAACAAAAAGAATAAGAAAGAGTAAAACCAACAAACTACTACTTAATAATATTTTCCGTTTCATAATTGTTTTAACCATAATTGGAATCCAAAACATATTTCAAAAGATTTTTTTCATTTTTTTTTAACCTCAAATAATATAGGACATAGCGCCCTCTTCAGTTCCGGAAAGCAATGGCGCCATTTCCAAATAAGGACATTTGTCCCGCCTCTTCCTGTTGGCTGCAGGGCGGTCCTTCTCGTTAGTTCCGCTGTGGCAGAACATGGCGGCTGTCAACAGCTGCTGCTGTGAGATAGGAGAGGACTAACAGGATTTATGTGGACCGGTTTGTTGTGTTTCGATTTGATGTCGACAATTACTCATATTTAGTTTAAATAGTTTGTGACTCTAACGCGCTAAAAGCCGATTATTTAATCAGAAAGTCGATTATCAGGTAAGACCCGGATCCAACCGGCGGGATGGTGAAGTTTTCAGACTTTTTGATAGTTCGAATGTAAAACAACAATTTCTGCAGATTACAACGAAATTTGCTTAATTAAAACACATTTAAGACAAGTGACTCAAAAATAAGATACATAGATAAACAGTTTATACTTAAATTAGAGCTTTTCTGTCTCTGAATCCTGTGGATCATGAAATTCTACATTTATTTCATAATTTTAACCGGAATTCAAACTATTTCAATGTATTGCTGAACTAGATCGTGATGCAAACGATTTGTATTTACAGACTGCTTTGCTGCACCAGGAAGTCACTGTTTAAGGATGCAAACGAACTGAATCCGAAACCGGATCCTGCTGGTATTAAATCCCGAATAGCAGAACCAGATTCCAAAAATCACCAAAAAATAATCTGGATTGCGACTGGATCCAGAAGTAGTTTGAGTTGAATATTAAACTGCATTTCAGGAAAAGTAGCTACCAGATAAAGAAAATATGTAGAATTTCTACATATTTATAAAGTACTTATGAATATGCATTTATCTAATTATAGGAGAACAACAGGGTCCATCTTGAACATTCGTGCATCAAGAAAAATAAGATTTAAAAAATTATCATTAAGTCAACACAAATATTGGCAATTGTAGTCCAAAAATAAATTTTCATTTGCATCCATCTTGAATATATATATATATATATATATATATATATATATATATATATATATATATATATATATATATAAAAGATAAGCCCTGTGAATATCTGGGTTCATGCTGATTCATTTAAAGTCAAATATTGGAAAAAGGAAATTAAAGACTTGATGTAAAAACAGAATTTGTTTCCATAAACAGCTTGATGCTGATTTTAATTTATTAATTGTGCCTGCAGATGTGTGATGTAGCATTTCTTTCTTTTAGTTTAGTTAGGAGGACAGTCATGTCCACTATGAGACCTGCATGAGTTGGATCTCTGTGTGGCGATGGAACCGGTGTGACCTGGACTGAGCCCAACATGGAGAAGTTTGGGATGAGTTTCGGCGGCGGCCCCAGCAGGAAGGAGCTGCTGGACACCATCGAGTCTCAAAAAAAGCAGCTGGTCCAATACCAGACCCGCTTTAAGGATGTAGTCCGTGCCTACAAGAGCCTCCTGAAGGAGAAGGAGGCTCTGGAAGCCAGTCTGAAGGTTCTGACCGTCACCCAGGACCTGGACCTCAAGCAGCCGGAGCCGGACGCAGGCAGGCGGCTGGACCTGCTGGACGACGGTTGCTCTCTGCACAGCGAGGACAGTGTGGACACAGCAGCATCTGTGGACGCCGCCAGTGAGACCAACAGAGGGGAGCAGAGTGAGGAGGACCAGGGAGAACCGGGCCAGAGGTCCGACTCTACGGTACGTCTGAGTCACTTCCTTTCTGTTATCTAACATGATTGTTTCTGTTATCATTATATATCCAGTACCGAATGACAGTAGCTGTTTCTGACTCAATGTGACGGCGAGCGTGTGGCTCAGGATACTGACCTGATGTTCAGTCCAGTAATATGGGGCAATTGTTTTTCTGCAGCCTGATGCTGACAGCGGCAGCGTGGAGGCGGAGCAACATCAAGCTCCGCCCCCCTCCAATGTGGAGGCCGAGCGCCGCCTCGCCCAGCTGAAGAGCCAGCTGAGCACGCTCACCGCCTCGCTGTCCACCGTCTCGCAGGAGAAATCCCGCATGGAGGCGAGCTTCCAGGCCGACAAGCGCCAGCTGAAACAGGAAGTGCAGGAGCTGCAGGAGCGTCTGGCCACCGTGATGGTGGCGCAGGAGGCGGAGCTTCACGCCCTGCAGCAGCAGGTGGCGGAGGGCCGTGCTCGCATCATCACGCAGCAGCATGAGAGGGAGCAGGAGCAGGGGGACCACGTCCAGCAGCTAAGGGAGCTGCAGAGGCTCCTGCAGCAGGAGCGAGACCTGCGGCAGGACGCCGAGCTGCGCCTGCACGACGCCAGCGCCGCCCTGCTGGCCTCGACGCAGGCCGTGGACCGCGGGGCGGAGTCAGAGGCGCAGCTGAACCTGGCGAGGGAGGAGAGGGACGAGCTGCGGCAGAGGCTGCAGGCAGCGGAGGAGGAGCAGAGGAAGCCGGACCCCAGAGTGGAGGAGCTGCAGCGGGAAGTGCAGGAGCTGAAGAACTCCTTCCAGCAGCAGATCCACAACGAGACCAAGAAGGTGAGACCAGAACCATGCAGAGTCTGGAGTTTAATATGTAGATATGTCTGGTATCTAAATATGTGGAGAAGCAGTGGAGAAAATAATAAAACTAACAATACAGACACTTTCTGGAGTTTTAAACATCATTATTTCTAACAGCAAGAAATGTATCACAATAAATGAGAAACGTTGCGATAAATGCCAAACCATATCTGGATCATATTTCTTGTGCTCTGTTACTGCTCAATTCAAAAAAAGTTTCACTTCTTCCTGAAAATTTGTACCTCAAAATGACAAGGAGAAAAACTTTAGATTGAACTCTTATTGAAATAAAAGGAACAATCTCATTTATATTTGGTAGAAATCAATGCTTTGAGAATTTATACTTAACTTCTGCAGTTTCGTTGTTCCTTAAGAGACATTTAAACAGTTTTTGATCTTTTTGCGGAAGAAAGTGGTGATATTATAAGAATACTGTCATAATGACATGAAAATTGAGTTGAGTCTCAAATAAAACTGCAAAAACTGGCAAAATGTACATTTTATATAATAACATGTCTCCTTTAAACAGATTTTTGCCCCCTAAACTCCACCATCACCTCTTTGGTCTTGGTGACAAAGACACAGATTTCTCCACCAGTTTTCTGGATTTGTCTCATTGTTAGCGTGCTAACGCTGCAGAGATGCAGGTGTGTCTCATGCTTTTTGTTTTTGTTTTGCAGGTTTGCGAGGCAGAGGAGCATGCTCGAGAGCGTGCTCAGGCTGCAGAGTTGCGGGTCGCGGGTTTGGAGCAGCGGGTGTCTGAGTTGTCAGAGCTGCTGGGTTCCTGTGAGAAGGCGAAGCAGCGGGACCAGCAGGCAGCTCAGAGACTGAGGGACCGGATCCAGCAGCTGGACATCGAGAACAAGACGCTGGCCATTGCCGCCTCCAGCAGGTCCAGCACCGACCTCAGTCTGGACGAGTCGCAGCTGGACGTGGCTGTTCTGAAGGACAAACTGCAGACGGTGAAGAAGCTGCTGCTGCTGGCAGCTCAGAGGAACCCGGACCAAAACATCCAGGATGTGGCGGACGCCGAGGACAGAACCTCAGCTCTGCAGCAGCAGGAGCTGCAGCAGCTGCGAGACGAGTTTGAGCGATACAAGCTGCGCGCCCAGGTGGTTCTGAAGAACAAGACCGCTAAAGATGGCTGCCAGGCCAAGGAGCTGGAGGAGGTCCGGGATCAGCTGGCGGAGCTGCGGGAGAAGTACATCACCCTGCGGATCCAGAGCGACGAGTCGGAGGCGCAGCACCGCCAACAGCTGGAGGAGCGGCAGCAGCAGGCGGCGGCGCTGCAGCTCTCCCACAGACAGGAGCTGGAACGAGCCGAGGTGCAGCACCGTGACGAACTGCAGCGGCTGGAGGCGGAGCTCCACAAGCACCGGGAGAGAACGATGGCGCTGCTGGACGAGAAGGACCAGGAGCTGGAGAGGCTGCGCGCCGCCGTGCTCACCTGCAGCCGTGACCCCAGCGACCCCGCTGCCGACGGTTCGCAGGAAGCTGCTGCCTTCGCCTCCGACTGCGAAGGTTTTATTCTCATTATTATTGTTTAATTAACGATATACAGTTGGACATAAATTCACTTAAAAAAACCTCTTATAATTTTCTAGAAGTGCATTTTGTATTATAATTCAAATCAATGCCAATATTTAGACCAAAATATCTGGTAAGATTTTGTGTTTTTGCAGCAGGTTGCCCAAACTTTTTGTCACATGGACTAAAATTGCCAAGTCAGAATTACTTTTTTACTATTTTTAAACCTATTTAAAATAAAATTGTACTTGCTCAACAGTAAGCTACTCACAGTAATTAAAAAGGTTTGACATTTTGTCAGAATGGTTGTGTAAATCAATATAAAAAGGACTTGCCTTTTTAAAAATGTTTAATAAATTGTTTAAATGGCACATTTTTGGAAAAACAAATAGAAAAAACTCAACTACAAAAACCAGATTTGTTACTTTTTGTATAAAATTTTGCTGTAAAACGCCATGTTGAATGAATTAAAAGCAGTCTGCTTTTGAGTGAAAGTCACTAAATAGATGCTTTCAAACAGTGAATATTTTCTATTGCATCAATTATTTTTTATTACGGGAAAATTTGTTTGTAATTATCATAAACAGAAGTCTCCATCAGCCGTCTGTGTTGGGAGATGAAACTTGTGTAATATTGAAATTGTAGTTGCAGGGCCACTTAAAATCAGTCCAGGGGCCAATTATGGCCCACAAGCTGCACTTTGGAAACCCCTGGTTTACAGATTTTATTTTTAAAAATGGCGGAAAAGATAAAACAAAAAAGAATCACAAACAAATGTTTGTATTTTTAATTTAATGACTTTGTGGCCCCCAGTTCATATATGAATAATAAAATCAAAAAAATACTTGATAAGATTTACATACTTATGTATATACTTTGTAGGAACTATAGGAGTAGGTTTGCATATTTTTAGATATTCATGACAGGTTCTCTGAGATTTATGGTAACAGCGTTGCTGTCTTTTGTCTGACTGTGCAGGTGACGCGGTGAGCGAGGCGCTGCGGCAGGCCACGCCCACCGAGTCCTCCCTGCTGCTGTACGCCGAGCAGCTGGCACGGAAGGAGGTGGAGGCGAGTGGCCTGCGGCGGCAGAAACATCGCCTGGAGGAGGATCTGCACCAGCTGCAGGCCCGGCTGATCGCCAACGCGGAGCGGCACGAGGAGGAGACGGCAGATCTGCGGGGCCGCCTCGACAAGCTGATCCGGGACCAGAACCGAGAGGGCGCCAACTTGGAGTACCTGAAGAACGTCATCTACAAGTTCCTGACGCTGCAGGACAGCAGCGGGCGGCTGCAGACGCTCAACGCCATCCTGACCATCCTGCACTTCAGCCCACAGGAGAAGCAGGACGTCACGAAGCTGCAGGGGCCCGCCTGGTGGGGCCCCGCACGCAGGTGAACACCTGGAGAGACGTATAAGTAATTCCACTCATACGACCATGACTGGATCACTGTGACGACTATTAAAGCCCTAATCCAGCAGATCTTTATATTTTGAATTAATTGGAAAATAAACTATTTTTTGTGTGAGATTGAATCTGTTTTCTGGACTTCATTCTTAGAAAAAACATTTTTTAGAGATTTATTTAACTTGCAGAACTTAATATAATTAAAATTAAGGATTAAATTCATTAGAAGTTTTACTGTCACTGTTCTGACAGGAAAAAGGAAAAATCAGCTCCTTTTCCTTCTCCCAGGTCTAAGTAGAAGCAACCAATCAGAGCCAGGAGGCGGGTCTTTGTGCTGCCAAACATTCAATCTCAGTCTGCTATGCTCCAGCTAGCATATTCTGTTGTGAATGCTAAAGCTAGTTAGCAGATAAACGATAGACTATTATTTTCCTCCATTTATCAGTGATTGCGCTCAGACCCTCCTCTTCGCTCTGATTGGTTGTCTTTGATCAGGTATATTTATTAAAACAGCAATAGTTTTAATAAATGTACCTGAGGAGATGGAGATGATCTGTTCATATTATCTGCATCATAAATGTCACAGCATGACTGTTTTAAGTTTTACTGTCACTGTTGCAAAAAGTTGCAAAAAAAGTCGCCGACCCACTTCTGCTGCAAAACCACACGATGTTACATGAACTTTGTGCACAAAGCCTGCAACTACCAGGTAAATTTGGTTTGTACGTTTCTTTCATTATTAACAGGACTTTGTTTCAAAAAACACCAACATTTTGATGTACAAAGAAACTGAATTCAGAACCTGATCATTTTCAGTGTTAAGTTCAAAACAGACCCAGGATCAGATGATTCAAGTTTTATTTTTTAGAGCACAAATACATGAAGAGAGACCAGTCTGTTAGTGTTTTTAATTTTTCTATAATACTGGAAAAATAATGCAGTGTTTCGACTGTCTGCCTTTCTGAGTTGGGCTTTTCTGTTAGATAAATTAATATCTTTGCTATCATGAAATCTCTGCAGCCAGAATTATCTCACTTCTACTTTGAGTTTCTATCTAAATGTCTCAGCCGTAAGCAGTGGGAATAAAGTCTCGTGACAACATTCACAACTCGACTAGGAGTCTTACTCGACTTTATTCTTCATAGTAGAAGAGTAAAATCATCCAAGAATAAAGCCGTAATAGTCAAAAAAGAAAGTCGTATGAGAACAAAGTAATACAAGAAATTATACAAAAATAAAGTTGCACAACACTAAAGTCATGGTTCGAAGTTGTATGAGAATAAAAACATGAGAATAAAGTCGTAACGTTATGAAAATAAGTCGTACGAGAACAAATGACAAGAAGTAAAGTTGTACAAAAATAGTCAAAACATGAGAATAAATTGTACAAGAATAAAGTTATAGGAAAATAAAGTAATGAGGGAAAAAAGTCAACAGGGTTTCTGTTGAGATGAATTAAGTCACACGTGAAAAAAGTTGCAGAAAACTGAAGCTGTTATTTAACGAGAATAAAGCCAGCAGAAAAATAGTCACACTATTGTCAGAATAAATCATGTGGGAATAAAGTCTTAATAGATTAAGATTATATTAAGATAAAATACATGGAGATAGCAGCATGTTAGTGTTTTTAATTTCTCAGATTAGAAAAATAACGGCTGTTTGTTTCGACCGTCTGCTGTTGGACTTCCTGTTGAGATCAATTCAAATCTTCAGTGTCGTCATGAATCTTGTCTGCATTGTTTGGGCTCATTTCAGGGTTTCAGTCTTTCAGGTTTGACGGCGTCAGCGCGCGTTCAGGACGGGCTGCAGGTCTTCAGGCAGCGAGCCGATTACAGAGTTTATGAAAGCGTCCAGTTTGTCTAAAACTCCATCTTTGACCTGCAGCTGCTGCCGGCGAGCTTTGATCTGGAAGAAACGAGCCGTTACGAACACATTCTGGTTTTTTCCAGAACCTTCTCCTCATTTTAAATCTCATTACCAGCTTTTCTCTGAGCTTCAGGATCAGATCCACGATCTCCACCTCCGACTTGTCTTTGGTCCATCCCAGAAGGTCCTGCACAAAACCCAGCGTCACCGTTACAAGATGGAAACTCCTCGGAAATATTCAAACACTGGAGGAGAGGAAAGACACTCACTGCGTCGCAGATCGTCTCCAGGTGGAGGCTCTCCAGCTTCTGGGTCATCTCTCTGTGGCGCTGGCGGTACCAGCCGTCAAAGTTCGGGGACCTGAAGAACTTCCTGAGCAGAAGGAAACTATATTTAATTTAAATTAGGCTTATCTGGTGTAAAAACAGCAAAAGACTACAACATACTGATAGTCAAACACGGTGGTGGCAGAAACTGCAAAAACTTTTTCCATTTCTGCATTGTTTTCTATTTTAACATCAATGCTACTCTGAAGTCAAATCCCATGATGCTTTGCATTACTTTTTAAGAAAACTCTTAATTCAAGGATATTTTTTTTTACTGTGAAAATAAAAAACACTAACTCGACCTACGACCTCCAGATCCAGATCCAGATGTTTCAGAAAATGAACTGATGAATATGCAGCAGCATTGGGTGTAAAAACACCTGGATTATAATCTGGATGCACCGATTGCAGTTTTCTGGCTGATCACCGACGACCAATGTTTAAAAAGTCTGACTTGCCAATTCATATTCCCAAAATTAAGGAAATTTGGAACAATTTATTGGTGCACTCCTGTTATAAGAATGAGTTACAGTTTTCTGCTGAATTTTTTGACATTTTTATGGATCAGTTATTTTTAAAAACTCGCAGTAAAGGAATGGAAACACTCCCATTAACTGATATGGATGGACCACAGCAGTGTGACTCACCTGTACAGACCCATCCAGTCCCCTCTGAGCATGGAGGTGAGCTGAGGACCGGTGTGATCCAGAGTGGAAATGAACTCGTCCTGACTAAAGGGACGAACCTGCGGAGGAGTCTGAGCAAAAACAAACACCAGGTGGTCATTTTATGGCCTCTGGAGATCCGCTGTGATGATGGGCCGTACCTTCCAGGGTGTGACTGATCTCTGCAGAGGCATCAGGCTCGCCATGTACCGCTCCTGTCAGACAAGACGGAGGGTTTACTGACAGTTTCACCTGCAGGATCACCTGCTTCTGCACCGATTCCTCACCAGAGGAATGATGAAGCTCTGCGTCAACTCAAGCAGGTGTCGCCTCAAAATGGCGCTCTGAGCCTCTGACGGCCTTTTCCTCTGGATTCCCTGCAAAAAACGGAAAAAACATCAAACAACAAGCTGCTGGTTTTTAGATCATCGGACAACATGGACATATGCTCACCTTCAAAAGCCTCTTGATAAGGATTTTGTCTTTGTGTAGAAACGTTTTGTAGGCTGTGTAAATCCCTGCACACAAACATTCAAACAACAGCAAGCTGCAGGCGTGAACTAAAGCAGAAAGACGATTCAGGTTAAGTTACCTGGTTTGGTGTCCAGAGTTTTTAGTTTGGACAACTTCTTCACCTTCACCTGCTTCGGAAGATCACCTAGAAAAACGCAGACACCCAAATCCAATGAGGTCTGATCTGCAGTCGGAGAGAAACCGATACAACGAGAGCAAAGTCTACCGGCCATCTTGATCTCTCCCAGTCGAATGATGTGAGGCCAGTTCTGAAAAGTCTTGATGAAGAACGGGTTGGTGACTCCCAGAACCACATTAGGTCTGAAGCAGAAAGAGAGAGAAACGTTAGCTACAGATAAATGGAAAAATCGCTCTGGTAGCTGAATCGATTAATCGGCTTGATTGCCATTAATTGATTATTGAAATAATGGACAACTAATTTGGCAACTGATTAATCTTTAACCTTTGTATACAGACTCTGAAAAGACCATTTAATGAAAGACCAACATAATTAGAGAAGAAATTAAGCTAAAAATATAAACATGTTGCAATTAAAAACAACTTTTAAAAATGTAACCAGAACTCCTTTTAGCTTCACTCAGGCTTAAATATAATAAAAAATTCTCCTATTAAGCATTTTTTGCTTTCAAATTATTACTAAATTTATGAAACATAGTTTATACAATAAACTTCATTATTTATATGCTTTGTTTATAAAGTAAAAAAAAAAACCTTCATTTACTCATAAATAAATAAAACATTTAATTGTTGTGTAAAGTGTGATCGGACTCACGGCGCCTGCGTCCGGGTCGTGTACTCTCTGAACTCGCTGTCATGGATGGTGAAATACGGCCGAAAGTCGCAGCAGAACTTCAGAGGGCTGATGGAGCTGAGAGGAACGGAAGCGGTCACACCTGCTGTTACCGTGACAACGCAAACACTCCCTGCTGATTGGCCGCCAGGCTCTTTTAGTAGCTACCTGACCAGAGCCAGGATTGTTTCCGAGCAGACAGTCGGAGACGGCGCCATGACGACCAGCGGCTCGCCGAGCAGCGCGAGTTCCCACAGCATCTGCAGGTGGATCAGAACCGACTGGAAACACCTGAGGAGGAGGAGGGAGGCGGGGGGTGAGAGACAGATACTGCTGGGACCAATCAGTGGTCAAGTTCATAACAACAGCAGGGGGCAGCACTAACTTGAAGAGGTCCAGTTCGTGGATGGTTGGGAGGAGAGTTGGAGCTGGCAGCGGGCTCTACAAGGACAAGCTGTTACTATGACAGCAGAAGCTGGGGGACAGGAAGGACAAGGGAGAACGGATCTGACCTCGTTAGTGATCTGTCTGACAGGACTTCCTCCTGGTTTGTCTGTTTTTGAAGGAATTCTAACCTGAAACAGAAAAATAACAGAAAAGGTGATTTTCCCACACGTCTCTCCGTTTATTTACCTGCGTTGACCTCTGCTGACCTGTAGGACGACGCCCACGATGGGCAGGTTGAGCGTCTGCCCAGGTGAGGGGTTGGGCCACTGGTCAATCTCACTGCAAACTTCAAGATGAACAGAGTTTATGACCTTGAAAAGTATAAAAATATCTAAAATTTAATCTCACAAATTTCCTTTAAAAAAAATTTTGACATAAATTTGCTGGAAAAAAACCAAAAATGTTGAGATTAATTTCTAGAAAAAAAAAAACTTGGAAATTTTGAGATTAGTCTCTAGAAAAAAAAAAAATCTTCCAAACGTAAAAATGTTAAACTTTTGGATTTCAGAAAGTCAAAGACAAGCGTCGTCACCTGCTTCCAGGAACGGCTCCAGCTTGTCGAAGAACTCTGGTGCGATGACCTGCAGCACCGAATGAAACAGGTGTGTGTAGGGCAACCTGGACACCAACACTAGCGACTGAAAGGCAACATCATCATAAATCATCAGGTGACCTCATCAAATTAAACGTCACGTAAGGGTGAGAACAGGTGAGGTACCTTCTGAAAGTAGCCTCTCTTCACAGACACATCCTTCACCTGACGGAAGTAGACGTAGCCGAAAAAATGTGCCATTTCCTTCTGAGGAGACATCACACCTGTTTTACCTGCTCTCTGTGGGAAACACCTGATGCAGATCTCAGGTCAGATCTCAGGTCAGCTCACCTGCAGCGTGGCGGCGGCGTCTCTGTTGTAGATGTCGTCTCTGAAAATTTGACGCCCAACTGATTGGCGAAACCTGAAGGTGAACTGAGTGTCCCCAAGGCAACCTGGGGAAAATCAGATTTACATCGTTTGACCTTTGAACTTCAGGTCCTCAGAACAACCGCATTTAATGAATGTTTCTTTACCTGAGTAGGAGTCAGGAAAGGACAAGTAACAGATGCTGGTTTTCTGACAATAAACCAAAACAACGCCAAAAGTCAGATGAAATTATTTAATTGGGAAAAAGAAAATACAATTAATGATAATAAATCACCTCTTTCTCTGTGAGTTTGACATCCTGCGGATAAACTAGCTGCAAGCGGAAAGAATGAATGAATACCAGACTCCATTTAAAATTCCATTAATTTAACTGGCTTTCATTTCTGTAAAAGTCTTATTTATGAGAAAAATATGACCAAATAATTGTAAAAACAAATCGATTTCTCAGCTACTAAACTCACCGAATTAAGAATTAGACATTAGGCTTTTTTTTACGTTTAAATATTTTTATCTTACAAAGTGGGTTTTTCTACTAGACTGCTCAGATTTAAAGTGGAACATTATTCAAACGGAGATTAATGCTAGTGCTGCTAAGCTAGCGCACCTCAATGGCTTGTCCAAACTCCAGGTCGAAGGTAACAACACACACGCACTCCAGCCAGGAGGAGAACCGGGTCCAGGCGGTTCGGCTGTCTGCCGCAGCCTCTTCCCGTCCGGGAGAACCGAACCCGTCCGACGGATCCATCGCGGCAGGTGTTGTGCGAAATTCGGCTCCCCTGAAATAAACGGTCTGGGGGGCGGATCCAAACTCATCGATTCTGAGCAAACAGAACAACACAGAAATATTAGAATATTGTTAAAAAGTTAAATATTTTGTGAAACATTCATTATATACAGGTATGGTGAAGTAATATTTTATTTCTTATCATTTTGATGCGTATGTATCACTATTAGCTGTGATTTATTCTTTTTGTGGATTTCTTCACAGCTTTTTGTTTGACGTGTTGCTTGTTTGGATAGTTATTCCCTCTGGTTTTGGATGCTGAGCATCCAGAAGGAGTTTTCTTGTACTTTGTCCTTTCAGACAGTTATGATGCGTAATCGTGGCAACATAACAGTTGATAATAATCCTGGAAGTGCAGATGAGTTGAAATGAAAGCTCCATTGATGCTTTCTAATCATATTGCCACAGAGAGATTTAGAGAGAAACAGCAAAAGCAGTAGAGATGTATTAGCAGAACTTGCTGAAGGTGTGATGTAGGGCATGTTAATATATTTTGTCCTCTCTTTCTGGATGTTTTACCAAATATTGTTTTATTCTTACTTGAATCATTTCTTGAATGGCTACTTTTTACTTTAACTTTAGTAAAAATATGTTGTGCTGATTTTACTTGAGTATAATTTTGGGTTCTCTGCACATCTCTGTTATCACTACATCCCTCGCAGCTAATGTTGAAGCCTTAAAATAGTAATAATTAAGATTTCTTGCGTTTTCCACAACTTGCCACACACAATATGGCGTCGAAACTGACGGTCAGCTGATTGGGACTTCCGTGTCTGAGCGGCAGCGCGTGAGCCGTACAGTGGAAACCGTTGTCTGTCAGCGTCGCTCCGAGCAGCTCGTTTTATCCTCTGAACACATTTTACCTAATTTTTAAGCCGCGACTTTGACTCCGCAGGCGGCTGGCTTCGGTATTTCCCCCCGTGGATCCAGAAAATGGAGTTTAATCGCTGCTGTTTGAGGAGCTTTTTGAGCTGTTTGCTAATCTGCGTCACTCTGTGGAGCGAGCAAAGCTACGGGCTCTTTGGACAAACCAACCGGAAACCAAACATCGTTTTAATCCTCACTGACGACCTGGACGTCGCTTTGGGCGGCTTGGTCGGTACATGTTATCAATACCAGCTGGTATTTAGTGTTTAACAGCTTCAGATTTGTGTTAATTGTGGTAAAAATGTCTGAAGCTGACAGCTCACATTCCTGGTTGAAACCATCATTGAGGAATCTTAACAATCAGCAGGATTTCAGTGAAGCTTCATCCCATCATTTTAGGTCAAATTATGGGTTTAATGTCTCATTGGAAGAAAAACGTTTTAAAGTTTCTTTGTGTGGCACATTTCAGCAACAAGACAAAGTGGTTTAAAACAGTAATCAATGATGAAACAATGAACAAACTTTAGGTTTTGTCCAATTTGATCATTATTGATCATTAGATTAAAATATACTCGGCTTTTTCATTAATATTGCAGTTAATATCGATGAGCGGAAGCTCTAATCAAATGAGTTTTTAGCCTGAATTTAAAGGAGCAGTTTGTTCCAGATTAATGGAGGATAAAAACTGAATGCTGCATCTCCAGGTTTGGTTCAGGTTCTGATGACACAAAACAGAACCAGAGGACTGATACAGCAACAGCAGATCTTTAATGTATTTTGATGCTAAGCTATCCACATATTTATAGACTAGCAGAAGCATGTTAAAGTCTGTTCTCTGTGCTCTCAAGATAAATACATGTATTAGTTTCTTTAGATATTTCTGGGATATTATTTTAATTTTGGAAATGTTCTTCAGGTGATAGAAGACTGATTTTGTAACTATCTTTATGTATCTCTGAAAGCTCAGAAGAACAAGACCGCTAAGCTCAGATCCCTTTTCTTTAGATTAAAACCAATTAAGAATTGGACTGGACTGTCAAGGTGCAACATGAAGCAGAAATTTGCACTTGTACCTTTTTAGAGTTGAAACTTTAAGGTGTAGCCTCTGCTTAAAGTCTTTTAAAGGATTTTTAAGAAGTTCTTAGTTTCTTTGTTCAAGTCGTGATGTAACAAAGCCACTTTGTTTTTTAGAACCCGTTGACCAAGACTAAGAAACTAATTGGTGACGCTGGGATAACCTTCACAAACGCCGTAAGTATCACCACTTATGGTTTCTGATGATGAGGAAGAGTAAAGCTGCAGCGAAGTAAAACAGAGCTGTGCTTTAATGTGAATGTTTGCAGATCTTTTACTTTCAGACCCAAGATAATTAAGTATGTAAATGTTATTTGGACTGAGTCTAATGGCAGCACAATATACTGATGAAGTTACCTAAAATGCTAAAGGTCACAGAGGAAAGTAGAATATATTGTTATAAGATTTTACCTAAGATTATCATTATTTTAAAACAGGACAAGAGTCGGTAATACTTATTATTTAAGTATGATATATTATCAAACTTCTGACCTTTAGGTGTTTTTATTCTTTTAATTATTTTATTAGAGCTTTGAACAGAGTTTAGATATTATATAGGCGTCTACACAAAACTAATGACACATTTACATGTCACACAGAAACAATAGGGAAATGAAGAACTGGGAAAAATCGTTTTCCCAGTCGAGTTGAAAATACGGCGTTAAATTGGGGCCATAAAGTCTTTTCAAAATAAAAAAATATCACAAAAAAACATTGAAACTGAAAAATTATATTGAAACTGAAAAAAATATGTTCCAAACTGCTTTGTAGATTCAGGATTTTTTTGTCAGTTTCAATTTTTTTTTCTTTTGAACAAACTTTATGCCCCAATTTAGCTCCATGTGAGAAATGTTATTTCCCCTCTTGAAGATTGTTGTTTAAGTGGCAGCTCTGCACTTCCATACTAATAATAACTGTAACATCTTAGCTTATTTTGCCCATTTTGCTTCTGTTTCTCAGTTTGTTGCCAGTCCTCTCTGCTGCCCGAGCCGAGCCAGCATCCTGACAGGGAAGTACCCCCATAACCACCACGTCATCAACAACACGCTGGAGGGGAACTGCAGCAGCTCGGCCTGGCAGAAGAGCCAGGAGCCGCAGACGTTTCCCGCTTTGCTGAAGAACTTTGGAGGATACCAAACCTTCTTCGCAGGGAAATACCTCAACCAGGTCAGAAACACGAGCCTCTTATTCTGCTATAAATGTAGGTTTCACTGGAGAGACAACGTTGTGTTTACATGTGCTTATTAAAAAAATTATCTTTAAGTAGGATCTGAATATTAAGAAATGACAGAAGATTGGCTCATTCCTACTTTTACAACATTTTAACCTGGAGTAAAATGCATTTTTCCAGCTGCCTTCTTCTTCGCTTCTTCATTAAAAGGCTCTCTGTCTTATATTGAGGTTATTGAAGATATCGGGTTTGTTTATGTCTTCCAGTACGGACATTCTGATGCTGGTGGGTTGCAGCATGTTCCTCCAGGCTGGAGCTACTGGGTGGCACTGGTAAGATATTTTAGCTTTTAAATATGTTAAGTTTAACAATTTACAGTGTTGATCTTTACAGAAATAATTACCTCAGTGAAGTGGAGAAGATTAATATATTAAGATATAGATTATTGTTTAGCCTTCACAAGATTGACTGAAAGTTTATGGTCCATCTTATTAATTGAGGCTTATATCTGCAAAAAGGCGTTTAGTGGACTATAATGGCCCATAAATGCCATAATGTAACAACAAAAGCCACCATGGGAGTTTTGCTAAAATGGATATTATACTAGCAGATTTAACAGAAATTCCAATTTAGTTTGAAACTGAATTTTTCTAAAACAGAATTCATGCAAAAATTGTAATTATGCAAAATGAGATGGTGCTAAAATGTATTTTGTCTTTTAACACAAATTCTGTTTTAGCATCACTTCCATTTTAGCATAATGCTAAAACATAATTTATATTAAAATGTAAGTTATGCTAAATCTGAACTTCTGTTTTAGCATAATTCTGCGACAAAAGCTATACCAATTAGTTTTGTTTCAGTATAAAATGAAATTATGCTAGCAAATTTAGCATGACTTCTGATTTAGCATCACATCCATTTTAACATAATTTCTGTATTTTGGATCATTAAAATAAACTATTAAAACTTGTAAAAAAAATTTTTTTAGTTGAAAGAAACAGGATTTAAGAAATAATTGCCTGGTTGATTTGTGTTTATGTCTCTGAACCAACAAGAGATCCACCAAATGAATGAATGTTAACTTTTGTTTTCCAGGAGAAAAACTCTAAATACTACAACTACACTCTGTCAGTGAACGGGAAGACTCAGAAACACGGAGCGGACTACAGCAGAGATTACCTGACCGATGTGCTGGTGAGCCCTAAATGTTAAAGGTGCAGTTAGAGACACAAGGGAAATGTTGCGATTAGTTTTTCAATTTTGGTCTTTGTTTCTCTCCCAGACTAACAGGTCTTTGGAGTTCCTCCAGTATAAATCCATTTACCAGCCGTTCTTCATGATGGTTTCCACGCCGGCGCCTCACTCCCCCTGGACGGCGGCTCCTAAGTACCAGGACCGCTTCAACGACACCAAGGCTCCCAGAGACCCCAACTTCAACGTCCACGGGAAGGTGGGGCTCATGTTTAATACACAGCAGAAACCAGATGGATTCAAACGTTTCGAAAAAGTCTCACACTTTTAATTTGACTTTTCCCGTTTTATCCAAAGTTTTTATTTTTAAGCCGTTATGTGGTACAGTAGGGAAACTTGAAACTGTTACCCAGCAGGTTGTTGTTAGGTAACCAAAGAGCGAGCGAGTTAGTTGATTCCACCGTTAGCCCCTGGCTTAGGGCGCTAATGCCTTTCTGGATCAGAGTTCAGTGAATATGTTCTGAATATTCAATCAGATGTGTTATCTATTGATATTGATCATGTTTCTATCACAATATTCATTGTTATTGATTTATTGTTCAGCTCTACTGTTATTGAAAACTAATTTCCACCCAATAGTTTGGTAAACTCTCTTTCTCTCATGTTTCCACTTCTATTTTAGGACAATTAAAAAAGCTACATTCATTTAAAAACGTTACTAATCTGACTTCATTTGGTCATTTTAGGACAAACATTGGTTGATCCGTCAGGCTAAAACTCCCATGTCCAACTCCTCTGTCCGGTTCCTCGATGACGCCTTCAGGAAGCGGTTGGTGGTTTTATTTTTTGCAACCTTTTTATCCTCTTCTATTCTAACATCTATTTGTGTTGCTCAAGATGGCAAACTTTACTGTCAGTGGACGATCTGGTGGAGAAAATTGTGACGAGTTTGGAGGTCAGAGGTGAACTAGAGAACACCTACATCTTCTTTACCTCTGATAACGGCTACCATACAGGTGAGTGAGGATGTTGGACTTGATCTCTGCCGGTTTTCTTTAGGGGATGTGATGAATGAATCCGTTTGGCTCTGATTCAGGTCAGTTCTCTCTGCCGCTGGACAAACGGCAGCTCTATGAGTTCGACATCAGGGTTCCTCTCCTGGTCAGAGGACCAAACATCAAACCCAATCAGACCAGCCAGGTACAAACATTCACACCGTCTGTCTTTATACTGTTGGGATAAATTTTGTCTCCTTGCTTCACATCACACAGTTTGTTTTTTTAAATATGTAGTACATTTGGAAAGGGACAGTCTTCACCATGCTTGATCCTCTTCAGTCCAACTCTAGTTAATTTGTCTAGAAACTCTGATTCGTTTGGGGAGGTGTGGAAACGTAATCGACCGAAAAGGCAAGCTCTGGTCCACTTAAAAACCTTCATCTCGGTTCGGTCAACACGATTCGAATTCATATGTGAATGCAAAGTGGACCGGAGACCGCTCCAAAAGCAGGAAGTGAGCTAAAGCATTCTGGGTAAATGTAACCAAAACAAACTCATGAGTTTGGTACTGATGCAAGAAATGTCTTTTAGTCTTTTGCTAAAGACTATACAGAAATCCTACAACCACTAAAATCTCCATTTTTGTTTACATTTGGTGAAGAAGGAAGTTTTCTTCTTCAGAGGTTTTTTTGTGTTGTTTCCTTCAGTGGTTCTTGTTGCAGCGCCCCCACAGGCGAGGAGGGGAACAGGTTTTTCACAAGGTTTGGTTTGTTTGACACAGTGGAGTGTGAAAGCAAAACACATCAGGAGTTTATCTCACTTGTCCTTGGAGTCAACTTCTTCAAATTCGCTGTAATACAAACCACCACAGATTATTTCTGACCAGATTATCTCTGAAGAATCGCAACATCATTGAGTTATTTACTTTCCCTGTGGGTGTCAATAAATTATTTTTGAACTGAATCACTTTTCATATTATCAGATGTGTTACCAGACAATGAAATTCTAACTGAACATTCATCTGTCTGTGTTCCTGCTGTCAGATGCCGGTGGCGAACGTCGACCTCGGCCCGACCATCCTGGACATTGCCGGCTACAACGTCAACAAGACCAAAATGGACGGCATGTCCTTCCTGCCCATTATGGTGAGAGAACATCACCTGTTTATTGTACAAGAAGAATCAATGAGAGACGAGCCATAGAGCATCATCAACTGATTCCAATGGTTTAAATGCACAATAATCTCAGTTTACATAATCTTATGAATTTAAAGAGCGGTAAAAACATTTCTCCTCTTTACTTAGTAAATGAAATGTCAAACATCCACAAATCGGAAAAGGCTTCGTCTGATTTCATTTTTATTTAGGAAAAAATGAATCAAATGGTGCAGAAAAACTTTTAATGAAAGAAACGACAAACTATGATAAATCAAGACATTTGAATTTATTGTTGTTTCAGCAGGAAGGGAAGATGAACAGCAGCAGCTGGAGGACAGACATCCTGGTGGAGTATGAAGGCGAAGGAAGGAACGTTTCGGATCCGGCCTGCCCGTTGTTGGGACCGGGAGTGTCGGTACGAGGAAAACCCGGATCAAATTATCGTTCATCTGTTGAATTAAAGCTGAAGTAATCAACTTCTGCAGGAATGCTTCCCAGACTGTGTGTGCGAGGACTCGTACAACAACACTTACGCCTGCGTGCGCACCGTCGCCCCCTCTGCCAACCTGCAGTACTGCGAGTTCGACGACAATGAGGTACATCAGTTTCATTTAAAACATCCAGCTTTCCTCAGGATGTGGATTATCAGTAACATGCTGTGCAGCTCAGAGCTTCCCTGGCTTTGGTGACTGTTAGTGGCTGGATCTGACGCGTGGCAGGACTGTCTGTTCTGCAGGTGTTTGTGGAGGTGTACAATGTGACGGCAGACCCCTACCAGCTCAACAACATCGCAAAGACCATCGAGCAGGAAGTGCTGGAAAAGATGAACCATCGGCTGATGATGCTGCAGTCGTGCTCTGGCCAGACATGTCGAACACCTGGAGTTTATGATCGAAGGTGCACATTTTGACTATAAAGCATCTAATCTACTGACTTTGGTTAAATGAGGAATGGGGCGTGTTATACGTGATTCAAGTACACCAGACTTGAGCTCATTCTCGACATCATGCTGTAATAGGAGTCATTTTTTGCGTCATAGTGTAGCATATGTCATTTTTCACACTTTTTTTTCATAGAAATAGAAAGTGTCATTTCTGTGCGTGTTTCGTGTAATATGTCTGTTTGGCAAAAAAAAAAATTGCAAAAATGACACATGCTATACCATGACCAATAAAATGTGGGAAAATAACAGAATAGCACCATTATGAAGATGTAATATCAAGATGTTTAAAATTTGTTTAAAATCTGTACAAACATATTTAGTGGCAACTAAAGCCAGTTTGTCTTTTAGGCAACTCAAAATCTGTTTTCAAAACGGCACTATTTCATTTTCTCTGCTGCATCCACAGTTAACTCTGCACTGCCAGACGGCGCCTTCTCAACCCAAACCTCAGCTTTCCATAGAGGAACAGAGACAGAAACTCAGCTTCCACATTATTTATTTATCAGTAAGAAAATATCAACATGGCTGCTTCAGAATGTAGCAATACATTAACACAAATTACACCACAATCTGGAACCAACATAAGAAATATTAAAGAACTTGGTGCTTTTTAAGTATTTTTGACAACATTATAGCATGTAAAAAAATATAGGTCAACTTCCACACTGCTTGTTCGCCAATAAGATGTAATATTCTGGTTTTTACAGCCAACATTAGTGAGTATCAAAAATAAACCCTGCAGATTCAACATTAAAATGTTATTTTTCTCCTGTCAGGTTTAAGTTCAACCCTCAGCAGCTGTTTTCGAGCCACAGCTGGAGGCTGAGCAAACTCAGGCAGTAGGAGGAGGAAGGCCGTTTCCTGCTGCCGCTGGTTTGCTTTGGAGCCGCCATCTTCTCTGGATGGAGACGCGATCAGGTGGTTTAGTGTCTGAAGCCAAATCAACCTTTAAACTTCATGTTTCTCAGTTGATGTTTGTAGAAGATTGAAAACGTCTCCCTGTCAGCACAGATTTGCACATGTGTTTGTCCCACAGGAAGTTAAATAGTTTGGCTACATTTCAGTGTTTAATCAAGAATTTCACATTTTTAAATATGTAAAACGGATGAGACAATTAAAAGAAGTGCCAAATGTCCTATTTTTGATTTAAACTCAAAGGTAGATCAGGGAAATGATTGAAGGGATTTTTTTTTATTTATTACCATTTTTAAAATATCCTGTTTTGTGAAGCATAAACTGCTTTCAGTCTTATTACTTATTAAACAGGGAAAAAGGTCAAACCTGCGAATCATATCCAGATTTTCCAGCTGCTACTGATGATAATCTTTACTACAGTTAACATGGAAAATGTTTTTTTCCTTCAAGCTGAAAACTTGGTTTAAAAGTAAAGATGCACTTTTAAATACGTCAGATTTTCATGTATTTTTCTGTCGTGTTTTTGTCCAAATAAAGAATCACTGTTACTTTTTTGCTTTAATTTCTTTCTTCTGTTCTAAATATTATGAAGTTGAGTTTACATTATTTGCAGTTGCAAAAACTGTTTAATCTATTTAGCCAAACTTTTAGTGATTTAATTAAATGCTGCAGGCTAAATTTATAGATTTATCTCCATTAATATTTGGTTAAATGTCTAAAGCACTGATAGGATAATTTCCTGACTTTTAGGGATAAATAATTAATTAGGAAGGTTGAAAGTGAGAAAAAAATAATTATTAATAAAAACATTAGAAAAAGAAAACAAAGGAAAAAGAACAATCTGGTTCTGCAGCGGCCATCTTAAATCCTCCTCTCTGTTTTTTCTTTTTTGCAACTATGATACTTAAAAATTCAACCAATGCTAGGAAACCAAGACATTTCACTAAATTTAACATTTCAGTGGTTCAGATTAAAAGTTTAGGTCTAACTTTCAGTCACAGTCAATTTGGGGATTTTCGTTGAACTCTAGAGGTTTTCCTAAAACATGATTTAGCAGTAATTAAAAGGGGCATTTTATCCCTTCTCTACCAAATGAAAACATTATCCATCCGTCTCCCCAGGTGCTAAACCTCTAATAAAAACACTTCAAATGTAAACGGTTTGTTGCTCATTCCTCAGCTGGCCCAGACGTCCAGGACAGGCAGGAACGGTAAGTCAGTGCTGCCCAGGTAGGTTCTGCCTCGGTGCTGGAAGACGTCGCTGATGGCCCACGTTAGGCGTCCCTCAGGGTCGTGGAGCGACCCTACGATCTGTCCATCCAATCCCAGCTCCAGGACCAGAGCGTAGCGCGGCAGCAGGAGGTTGTAGCAGCTCAGAGGAACCAGCTGCACCAACATGTTCAGCAGACATTAAAATATCACCATGCAGACAGACAGAAGTTCTCCAAACCTGGAAAATACTGACATTTGACTCCAGCTGCATGGATGACACTTAATGAACAAAACTACAGCTTTAATCTGTTATTTCCAGTTTAAATTGTTCAAAATATCCAGAATAAACAATCATGTTTACTAAAGAATAAAATCTCATTTTAACAGAAAACCTCCAACCTTGGCCAGGAAGCGTTTCACCGCCGGGTACGGGGCGATCATGTCCAGGAAGGGCGGCAGAAGCTTCTGGAATCGCGTCGTCGTCATGCCAACCAGGAAAGTTCCGTGGTCGCTAAGGCGGATGTTGTCAGGGTAACCGATCATGTTGTCCAGAATGATCTCCATGGTTCCTGCCTTTGAACCTTTCAGCCAAAACCTGACAATCAAAAATAACACTTAGAACCACAACCAAAAGTCCAGGTGTGTAACAGCAAAAATTACAAGTTTTTGATAAAAGTTCAACAAAGTTTAATTTAGCATGTTAGCATCAGCTTTTGCTAAATTCTGTGTTGTTTTAGCAGTACGTTAGCGGGGCTATCTTTAGGGTTAGTGTGACTAGCTTTAGTTAGCGGTGCCTACCACTGGTTTTCTACATGAAACGCCTCGTGACAACCGGTGTAAATACTCCACTGTACTTCAGTATGCGTCCGATGCTGGTCTCAGCCAGCAGCAGGAAGTTCTCGTCAGGCGACAGCGCGATTCCGTTGGGCATGTAGAGCGAGTCCAGCAGCACCGTGACCTTTTTATTCTCAGGATCGAAGGAGAGAAGGCGGCCGAGGTTGTTCAACTCGATCACCTGAAGCATCAAAAAACAGCAGCTTCAAATTCAGCCTGGTTCCCCGCCAGGCTGATGATACTCTGGGAGAAGCCCTTTGATCCTGAACATATAAAACAATCTGTATTTTCTAGACTTAACTTTGTATTGTGGTCCATGTGATTTTTAGATAATGTAATTTTTAGATATTAAATAATTGATCATTTGATTAGTGACGTGTAGCATTTTTACGTTTTCACCCTTGTGACTTTTTGCTTTTAGTTGAGTAAATTTAAGTTGAAGTAATGGTACTTTTGCTTGAATACATGGTTCCGGCTAACGCCTGACGGTAGTTTACGTTGTGAAGCGCTTCTTCATCAATTCTCAACAATCTCTGTTGTTTCTGCATAAATATCCCTCTTGTAAATTCAAAAACTTTACTTTAAAACGGTGAAATAAGGTTTCCTGAAAACCCACTTGCCTCCAGCCTGACGTGTCTGCGGCCCCAGCGGCTGGATGAGTCGGTGAAATAAACGATCCCCGTTTGGGAGGAGACCTCCAGGCCATTCAGGAAGGCGAAGGGAACGCCATCAGCACCTAGTGGCAGAGCGACGTTCTCCTCGTTCATCTGCGTCTGTAAAAATCAGCTGAAGCTGTCGGACCGTACCGTCGGCGTTGGCCACCAGCAGAGTCTTTCCTCCAGTTTCAGGGTCGACGCTGTAAAGACCGAAGTAAGAGTCGGCAACGAGCAGCTGACCGTGGCGGTCCAGGCGAACGCCGTGAGGACGACCGCAGATCGGCTCGTAGTCACTGCTGCTGCCTGGAAACATCCAACACACATCCTGGATGTTAGCAGGTGTTTGCCAATTGCTGATGGCTAGTCTGAAGGAGCTGAGTGGGGGAGGAGCTGTGTCTTGAAGGCAGGGCTATGTCCAGTCAGGTGTTTTGCACAGCTGAATGGTTGCCATGGAGACTAAATGACTTCTTAAAGTATCCAAACCGCATTCTGGTAGATCCTGTCCCATGTGTGTGATGAGATCCAGGCTGTCATCTGGACCGATTCTCCAGAGCTTCCCGTCCACCGTCCCCGTATAAACGTTACCTGAAATAAAACACGGACAAGAAATCACATTTTTTACAACTTTCACTTCAGTTTATCAATGCAAAAACACAGCATTTCTAATAAAATCAGTTTAAAGGTGAAGTGATTGGGAAGTAGTGACATCTAGTGGTGAAAACAAGTTACTGCAACCAAATTAGAAATTCTGATTACTTATAAGAAAATAGTTAAAAACAGGGAGTTAATGTGTCTTATATGAAGGATGCAGCTTTAATGAAGGAAAAGGCTCACCATGAGCATCAGGAGCAAAGGATTCTGGTCCGTGTAGTTTTCCAGTGAACAGCCTGCGGCCCCTCTGCAGACGAGTGTTAACAGCCAGTGGACCTTGGAGCGCCGGGGGAGGCCCTTTCAAACTGAACACACACAGTTAACAACACTAAGCAACTAAATTTATCACTAAATTATGGCGTTGAACCTTACACGTGCGGTTTGGGATCTATAGGAGACGGCAGCAGGTAAACTCCAACAGCCACGGCTAGCAGCGCTGCTAGCAAAGATCGTCTCCACAGCCTGAAGAAGATTGGGAGGAAAACACAAACTGGTAAACAAATCAGTTTTTCCATTTTTATCAGGGAGGCTCCTATTGCTGCTGAGCACATTAGCTTGAATTTGCCCGAACGTATATACTGACAGAACGTGCAGTATATAGAAAATATACCAAACTCTGAGCCAAAACCGCACAGCATTCTGGGAGACGTAGGCAGAGGAAAGGGTTTTACTGCTCAACCTCTCATGGCTAGCTAAGCTAAGTTGGTAGAATTAACTGACTCAGGCACTCTGGTTACCTAGCAACTCATTCATTCTTTGGTTACCTAGCAACAACCTGTTGAGTAACTTGCGCAGCAGCAGTTTAAGGTTTTGTCTCACAACTGCTTAAAAATAAAAAAACAACGTGTCGTGAAAACGTGAAAGGTCACGTCTCCAATTTCAGATATTCACAACAAAAAACTGATCAATAATTATTGATGTTGACTGAAATGCTTATATCTGGACCAATTCTCCACAGCTTCCCGTCCTGTAAAAATAAGTTCAACTCTACTGTAATAACTGGGGGAAAAAAGTCTTGTGCCACACTTGCTGATGTGACCTTTGACCTTACACCTGGGGAGGAGGAATCAGGCTGCAGGTCAGTTACACAACTAGAACTAGAGGCAGAAGAAAACTGGAGCTGATTGGTTTGGATAAAAATCAAACATTTTTAACCAATTTTACAGGCTAAATGCTAATATTTTATAAGCTAAAAATGGAGATTAAATAGTCCAGAGTGGACAATCTAAATTTAGGATTATTATTATTAAAAACACTTTTCTTTAAAAAAAAATCTTACATTTATGGTTTGTTTGGTTTTGTATTTATGATGTTTTAATTATAAATACCTTTAATTTATTCTTCTGTATTGTAGCGGTTTGCAAGTGACTTCCTGGTAAAATAAAATCCTACATTCAATGTCCCTATCAGAAAATAATAAGTAATTCATATGTAACTTTTTTAATTTTTTAACTCTGACAAGTCAAATTGCATAAGATTAAAGTTCCAGCAACTGCACCACTGTGCAGCTTTCTCAATGTGTTTTTGAAAACTGTTTTCTGTTAACCCTAACCCTGTTTCTCATCTGGACCCAAAGTTTGAAAACTTGTCTGGATTTTCACTTAAGATGCGCAAGATTTATATTAACTGTGCTGGAAAATTAACATTGTAGATTAAATTATTATTTTAGCAAGTCTATACAAAAATATTGTGAGGATTAATTTTATAAGATTGATTAAAATACTAAAAACAATGCAATTTTTAAATCTAAGGTACATTTATGAAAACAAGAAAATTGAGTTGAGATTTATTTTTGTTATTCACTTTTGGAAATTAAAACACAAATCACTTAAATTTAAAGATTAGTTTTCAAGCAACAACTGTAGATTGAATTATAACAGTTGTAAATAAAATAATATATTATTTAGCCCAGTTATTTTATGACGCAACCTGCAAGGTTAAAATCTCCCGGGATCTTTGAACGCAACAGTTTCAACAGGTGGGGTCTTACTGAGCGCTGCGTGTTTTTAAAAATTGCTCCACAGAGTAAAAAGTTTATATTTTTGTCTAATTTTTATAAAGTAAAATCTAAAAACGTACATTTCTGGGCGTGAAGTCGATCTTTCCTCTTCCTGCTGTTCCAACCCAGAGACGCTACATAACTATGAAGGCGAACTAAAATCAAGCTAACCGGAAAGAAGACGCGCTGTTCCGGCCTGGACCGTCAAAATAAAAGCACGATAAGGCGCATTGTAATGTATAACAATTTCTTAGTTACTATTTACGTGTTTGTTTTTTTTAATGATATTTTTTCCCCCAATGGAAGTTGGAGTTTTTAAACCACTTAAAAATATAGTTAACACTTAAATTCATTCTGTTTCTGTTTTTTTCTTTTGCAATGTTTGAGATTCTCAAACTTTAAAATGATGATTTCATCTGATAAAATAAAACAGAGTTATTTGTCTATTTAACTAAGAAGGGTGTTACATTTTTACACAGGACTGGGTTGTTCTGGGGAAAATAATAAATTTTAAAATTATTTTTAAACTGTTGGAATGCATAGTTAAAAAAACAAACTGGTGTTTCAGTTTTTGAAATTCCAGTCCAAAACTGGAATTTCAACCAGTTCTGAGTTGAGATTCGCTTTTCAATCAAGCAATACTGATATTAAATTCCAACATGGCTACCACGCATGTTAAATCAAATGAAAGCTGAAATTTTTAACACTAAAATGACTTAATTTAAAAGAAATAGCTAATGCAACCAAATGAGTTTTTTTAAGGGGAATTTCACACTATGATGCTTAAATATTAAATATGAAACTTTATGGTTTCAGAGTAAAACATTTTAAAGCCTTTTAGGGACTGAATAACAGGATTTTTTTTTAAAAGAAAAAAGTCAAACTAACCTCCTGAATGGTGAGACTTTGTTTTGGCAGCTTTGTTGGTTTGAGTTTTGTCAGCTTCACGTGTGTGAGGGTCCAGAGTTTGGCAGTGAGGAGGAGGAGGCCCTGCTTTTGTCTGGCTTGTTATCGGAGTCGGGGTCAAATGGAGGATAAAAGGAGGAGCTGCTGCTGCAAACAGGCGTCCAGCAAACAGGCGTCCAGCCAACAGCCTGACAACATCAACAGGCAAAAACTACAACCGGCAACAAGAAGAAAAGCAAACTGCTGGGTTTAATGAAACACTATGACGTTTCACAACAATCAAATTACTACCAAAAAGTTTAATATTTAAATTTAGAATAAGGACAAACACTGAAATAAAACAGAATTTTCTTTCAAAGCAATTTATGGAGCTAAATTGTTTACTCATAATCAGGGACAATTCTAGGATCTGGGGTTTAGGGGTCCGTGGCCCCCAGCAGGGCTGAGACCCAGGAGAAGACATTCGCCAAATATGGGACGACTCCGTATTTTACGGGCTGGGTGGCAATCCTATTGCTGAGATTACGCAAGAATACTCAATTACTGAATAACTGATCCAATTATCAAATGAGCACCATTCAAATTAAAAAATATATATATTCTAAAAATACACAAATGAGAGATTTATTTACCAGAGGTGCTGCTGAACATGTCTGATCCGTTGACAACGAGCTTGTAAATGAAAGTAAACAAGGCGTTTTATGTGAAACAATAAAATCTTGACAAGAGGAAGGGTAAACACTGGACAGGTTCCCAATCCCTCACCTGGCTGATTTTCTTTTCTGTTTAGTTTTTTCCCAAAATCACTTTTGATTTTTACCAAGTGATTTTGGCAACAATAAAAAAAAAAATAAATAAATAAAAAGTGAGGGTATGTTTTTGTTTCTTTAAACTGGATATTATGATTTTTAATCGGCAGAAATGTATAATAACTACCAGATACTGAAAGCTGAGGTTGTTCTGGAAAAAATACATAATCAATGCACATTTTTGAGAATTTTACAACCATAAAATAAAATAAAAAAAAGAACATGGCGGTCCAGTTGCAATTATGGTCATAAGAGGATTAATGTGAATAATTTCCAAAAAGAAAAACTTCCTTTTGACAGGAACAAACCCAACACTGACCCATTTATTTTCTAAATCTGATTGGTCAGTGACCGGTCAAACTGGCCAATCAGAGGAAAGGAGGGACAGATAAGAACACCACAAAATGATTTCTCTTGTGATTAGTTTAATTGCACCAAAATCTGGACTTTTTATCCTTAAATGTTTCATTTATTTTGATTTGAGAAAACAGTTTAAAGTATAAATTGGCATAAATAGCTCTATTAATCATTTGTGTGATTTCATGATGAAATATAAAACTTTAAACAAAAATCATTGCCTCCTTGCAAATTTATTCAGTCAGAACATATTGTGCACTGTGAGATAAAAACATCTTAACATGACAACATGAAGCACATTCTCCAAAAGGACAATACTGACAGACGTTTCACCAGCTGCTCAAGACATTTGGTTAAATTATTTCTGTGAAATTCTTGTATTTATGAAGCAATTTCCTGGAAAAACGTGATGTTATGAATTTAAATGGCACGTGACATTAGGGAGAACAGCTTATGAACAGTTTCTGATCGTTTTATTTTAATTTGCTTCTGTAGGAATAGAAAACAAAAAATAGAGCCATCAGCTATACAGAACGCTGCAGGAATGACCCATTTTTACAAACTGCTGTAAAAATATTTCGTCAGAGAGAGACCTCCTCCACGACGGAGAACTTGGGCCTTACTAAGAACAAATAAACAAAATAAAATTAAAAGAATAGAGTCAAAATAATGAGAATAAAGTCAGTATTTTGAGAAGAGTCATAATATTTCAAGAATAAATTCATAATACAAGAATAGTAATGTTTCAAAGATAAAGTCACAATAATATGAAAATAACTCATTTTTTGAGGATAGTCATACTATTATGAGAAAAGTCAAAATAATATAAGAATAAAATCATTTCTTGAAAATGAAGTCATAATAATTCAACAAAAAAGTTGAACTATTATGAGAATAAAGTCATAATATGAATATTCTCCCATTATTTCAACTTTATTCCCTGACAAGTTTATTCTTGTAATTTTATTTTCGTCTCCCTAAATCGCTGAACTCCTCGATGCAAAGTCTCCACAAGCTGAAACATTAAACTCTCCTTACAGCTTTAAGCTCAAATTAAAGTGCTTTTCTCTTTCTGTAAGCGATGCAGGTGAAGACGGGTTTTAAGGCTGGTTCATTAAAGTTTCTGGCTCTAGTCTCTGTTGCCGGGGTTGCGGGGCGGCGCCGCTCCTTCCATCGGCGCCGAGCTGGGAACGGAGAGCAGCTGGCCGCCGTGCATGCGCTCGTTGACGCGCAGCTGGCAGCCGTCCTGCAGCATGCGGACGGCTATCCGGGCGATGTTGCGAGAGTCGTCCAGGCCGCAGTGAGGCCGGCCTTCGTATTTCATGCCGAGCTTTTCCAACATGGTGCTCAGCTTCGTCTGCGTGCGTGGGACCTGGAAGAAACGAGGGAGTTTAAAACCCGGGGCAAACATCAGAAAATGTTGAAAGAAGAAATTCAGTCTAGCAGAAGTCATCTCTAAGTGAAAGAGCTTAGATTTAGCTGAGGGAGATTGCTTAAAAACAAGGTCACAGATTTCTTGTTTCTTTTCTAATTAAGAAATTACAATAAAAAAAACGTATTTTTTTATTTAAATCTTGTCTGAGTTTTAGAATGAAACATCAGGGCCAGGCTACAAAAAATTTGTTTAATTACTAGAATGTGGTCATAATACCAGCAAAATGGATCATTTAGCCAGAAAATTAAGTTTTAAGTATCTGGAAAATTTACAGTTTGCTCAACATTCATTTTTATTTATTTTTTCCATGTTGGATTCCCACAAATTGTGCCTTTATCCTGCTGATATTATGACATCATTCTTGTATTATTTTGACTCCATTGTTGTAAGACTGTATTAAACAAAACTGTAGCCTGGTCTTCATATTTAGCTTTTCCAAAAATTAAATCTTCAAAACACCAAAATTTGATTTATTGGAAAAAATCTATTTACTCTCCAGCCCTACCTTGTAGAAGTTGCAGTAAGACTTTCTTATATTTATCCATTTCTTTGCAAACTGAGGGTATCGGATCCGGCTGATCCGACACTGGATGTTGAGGAACTTGCTCATGTCCCACGCCCTGCAGAACAAACAAAAACATCAGAGCGACCAGAGAGAGGAACGCCAAACCCTGCAGCAGCAGATCGGGTTGCAGGGTAAACCCACCCGTCAGTCAGCATGGCGTATTTGTATTTCGTCCCGAGTTCCCTCTCCTGCAGCCATTCCACAACTCGGCGAAGGACATCTGGAAACGGATCCGCTCCATCCACCGTCTCCTGGAGACCAAAACACCAACAGGTGAAGTTTGACTTCAACTTTTAGACATCTGGGAGACGTGAAAGAAGCAACTCAGACCTGTGTGATTCCTGTTAGCTTCACGCAGAAGTCGGATAGCTGCGGGTTCACTTCTGGTTTCACATACGCCTGAAAAGTGTCCACCTGCACAGAAATCACATTTAATAGAAGAAAATCTTCCATTAATTACTTCCAGACAAACCAGGCTGGGGAGAGGACACAAAAACTACTCAAGCTGCAAAACTTCAGGATTCAAGATGGCTGACCGCCTGCGCATAATGTGAAGAGTTGAAATTGCCACAATATAGTAAATATAAAAAAACATTACATTTTATTTTAAGCATTTTATTTCAGCTGAATGAAATAGTGACTAAACATAAAATTGTTTAACTGACGCCATTAATTAATTGATTAGAACTCATTTTAATCTAATAAACCATTCGTCATCAACAAACTGTAAATCTGTGTGGACTTACGATCTGTAAGGTGTGCGTGTTGATGAGGACCATGGGGAACTCGATGATCTCATGCAGGAAGTCTGAGGGATTATCCTCCTCGCACGTGGCCTCGAAGTCCACCACGCAGATGTAGTCGTAGTAGGTATCGGTGGGCCCTCCCTCCGCCGCTGACTGCAGCAGCTTCTGCTTCTTGTAGTGGTTCTTCAGCCTCCTCTTCATCACGTCCTTTACTCCTCTTCACGCACAAACAGAAGGTGGATTTTAGGAGCGGACGGCGAGGTTTCTACAGCTGAAACAGTGAAAACGCTCACCTGGTGTCGAGCTTCAGCTCCGCCAGTTTGACCCGCAGCTCGTCTTTGGACATGCGGTTGATGTGGCCGTTAGCCAGAGCGATCTCTTTGTAAACCGGGTGACTGAAGTCTGTGTTGGACTGAGACGTCTCCGGAGCCGTTTCGTCGTTGGGACATATTCTGCTGCAGGGTTTCGTCTGGACAAGAAAATGTAACTGAGCTTGACTTCCGGTCGCAGGTTGCTATGACCTCCTGTAAATTCACAACACTTGAACACTGCCTGATAATCAAGTTCAGTGATTCATTTAAATTTTGGAAATGTTTTTTTTCCCCAGCACATTTCAGCAGCAAAGCATTTCAAAGTGCTTTGCAACATAAAATCAAAAACTACATTGTCATAACAATGCAAATAAAACATTTTTAATATTCAACCTACAAAATTCAGTCAATGGACTGAGGTTAATTTTTTAGGTTTCGATAGTTCAGGCGGTAAGCCGCCATCTTGTTTTACAGGCTCTATTTATTTTGACGTTGAATTCAGATCAACTCTACGTTCAAATATCACGGCTAGGCTACAACTTTTTATTATTCATTTTTTTAACACGAGAATAAAATCATAATATTACAGGAATAAAGTCCCAGTGGTACAAAACTAAAGTTGTATTACAAAATCTAAATATTACAAGTAAAGGTCATAATATTAAAATAAAGTAGTAATTTTATGAGAACTCCTACAAGAAAATAGAATAATTAAATGAGGAAAGTTAAATCTTGTTATACTTTGGTATATGTTTTACAGATGATAATAAAAAATCTTTTTAACAAATCAGCACCAAACCATTATCAGATCCAAAACAGCCATCTTCTATTTTTATAACTCCAACAAAACTGTTTTTTTTTTTAATTTTCAGACTTTTTTCTGGTAACATGGCATCTTTATTCTGCTAATATTATCACTATTTTCTTACAAATTCTTGTGGACTGTCCCTTTACTTTGTTGTGCAACTCACAGAATGGATGGCTGAATAAATCACTAAGCGTGAAAGGAATTGCTATAGAATATATTTTTATATTGAATCACTGAAATAAAATAAAATTTTTGACTATATTTTAATTTCTTGAGATGCATTTTCAAGGCTCCTCTTCCTCATTAGGGAAAATTTACACTATTAGTTCGCAGCAAACAGATTAATGAAGATGGCAGAATAATAGGTCATTCATATTTCAAAAAGACATTAAAAGACTTAAATTAAATTCCAGAATTTTCTAGACTGTATTGAGTTCCAAAAGTAAACATAAATAGTTGGGTTGGATATTTTTTAGGATCCATGTTTAAATCAGTCCGTAATGTTCAATACACATCCAAATTATGCACGTTTAAAAAAGTACATTAACATAAAATATCCTAAATTATTTAGGACTTCTAAAGCACATTAAATGAAATTTAGACTAAGAGAAAAATGTTTCTTTAATTTGTAAACGTCGGATTGTCTTCACAGTTCAACAAATAAAACAATAATGAGATTTCAGAAAGAATTAAGAATAAAAGCATGTTATAGTGTCGTTAAAATAAATGTGTTACTTATCGGAAACATGTTAATTCGAGCCAGATTTACCTTTTCATCATCTTTTTCTTCTGACATTTTCACATTCGCGTTTGTTCCTTGAATGTTCTCCTTGTGTTCATCCATTTAATGGTCACAAAAGATAGAAACTGTTAAAACAAGCTAATTTCATGTAAACAAAAACTCGATTTACAGACAAAAATGGCCGTACCAGGCGACATTAACTAATGTTAACTCTTCCTTAAAGCTAAAATACCCGCGCAAATGTCATTACAGAGCAGCTGGACTGTATATATTTACAGAAAACAAGAGCAATAAAACATCCCGAATAAACAGCGTTTCTCCTAAAGCACCGCCACTGCGTTAAACTTTATTTTCTCTGGCTGGACAGATAAGGAACTGTTTCCGGTTTGCGCCAAAACGTCCTGCGTGCTGCTCCTCACCGCCACCTAGCGATGAGGAAGACCAGTTACATTTGAAAATACTGAAATGCTCTACGATCAAGGTCACTTTCAAAAGAAATTTAATTAAAATAATTTTCAGGTAGTTTTATGTTACATAAACATTTCAACATAAAAAATACTTAGGCAATATATTTTTCAGTATTTTATATTGTAGTTTTGCAACTTAAATTTAATTCAATAATACTTTATTTATCCCAAAGGGACATAAAATTCTCACAGTATTAGCAACTGACTTCAAGTCTGGGTTAAAAATTCTGCTTCTGACATTTACAACCCTTAATTTATAGAGCAGTAAATAAAGTATCTAATAAGTGTGGATTAAGATCGATTATAAGACCATTTACAATTCATGGATCGTCTTTTTACTGAATTATTTCGATCAAATACAATAAAAAAGAACTTTGGACAGACCAGATGCTTATAATTTCAATAATTTTGAAATTGTAATGCTCATTGATGAACACTAGATGAGGCTGTTGGCCAAACTTTAATTACTGACCTATTCATAGCCTAAAACGGTATTTTCTCAAGATTAGACGAGTTAGCTCAGTTTTATTTAATTATTTGCATAAACTTGAAGAGTTTGTGTCAAAATCAGTGAAACTGAAGCTTTTGAGGGAAAATTGATTCATTAAGTAGAAAATTAAATGAACGGATGCACAAAATTCTGCACGGATAGATGAACATAGCATTTAGATAACTGGATAAGGATTCAAATCCTGGAATACAAACATTTTTCCATATTTCCAGATCAATTCCAGTAATGCAGAGCTGCTGTCAAACTAATTTTCTTTGACTTTTTGATAACTTTCCCATGACGAAAGCAGAACATCACGAAATGGTGAGAAAGAAACACAACCAACATGATAGAAAAACAGTTTTATTTCCTTCTGTGAAAAAAATAAGAATAATCTTACGAAACCCACAAATATGACCTAAGCGCACAAAGAAGTGAGAGTGTTTCTTCCGCTGAAAGTAGTGTTGAGCAAATTTTGAAAAACATTCAGACAGAATGTAAAGGATTGTCCATGTTTGTTGTTTTTGAATGGACATTTAACATAATAAGAGTCAGGAGAGAATGAAAAGCTGCATTGGAAAGGCATCAGTCCCATTTCACCGTCTTCATCGACAAACGATTCAGGGAAAATCTGAGCTACAAGTTTCAGTTCCCACCGTTCAGTTTGTGATGCTGCTTTCAGGTCCTGTGGTAAAAAAGAAATCTTGTCACTTTTAAACGGGATAGAAACCAATTTGGAGGGTAATATCTTACGGAAATAAATCAAGATCAAACGGTTAACAGCAGCTTAAAAACTTTAAAATGTTTCGTCTTAGCCAGAGCACGTGGATTCCCACTGGACTTGAACGCTGCACAGCATCAAAGGCTTCATGTCAAAGTTCATTTATTCAGGTCAGTCCATAAAAAGGCATTTTGATGAGTCACATTTAAAGTTTGCAGGCGTTGCATCCGTCCTCACAGTACATGTTTGCACATTTTGTTTTTGTCTTTTTTGTACAATTCAATTCTAAACAGAACATGATGACCGTAAACCTGGGAGCAGAACCGCAGCTTTAAGGAAAACATTTACATACATTAAAACAACTTAAAAAACACTTTAAGTTAACAAGACAACAGGCAGTTCAGAAGCTGTGCTGGGAATAAACCAGTTTGTCTTACTGGGAGTTTTTCTGTTTCTTTGCTGGTTCAAAGTGAAACTAAAAGTCAGCAGATGAGAAAAACAGGCTGAAAAACTGCTGATCTGAGCCTCGTAAATGTGCTTATAAAACCTTACAGGACGGTTTTATGGACACTTTCTAATCACAGTTGAAATATTTAAAGTGACATGTCTACATATTTCTGTATAAATGATTTTATTAGGCATGCTGTAGTGTCTCTGTGGAAAGTTTTCCCTCCTGGATTTGTGAAAGGAACTGCGGTTTATCAGTAAACCTGACTTGAAACCTGATTTCGGGTTTATTTTACACAAGAACAAAGACGGATATTTCTCAGATTGTTCCTTTATGAAACCCAGCAGAGACACGAGACGAAGGATTCAAACAAAACAAAACAAAAATGGTCGCACCAAATCTTAAAAATGACACAGTAGGAGGCGCTCTCCGCCGCACTGGGTTTGGTCAGAGGTGAGAGGTGCAGCTGCGACACATGCCTCTACTGCCCGACTCGAGCCCGGTCCAGAACGACTTCGTCTCCTGATGCGTTTTGGTTATTTTGGGCGAGGCTCTCGGTTCGGACGGGTGAAGGTGTTGGCTACATTTCCGGCGCACTGGCCGGTCTGGGTCAGTGCGGGACAATCATCCGGTCCAGCGTGAACTCCACCTGTTCCCAGTTCTTCCACAGCATCACCAGCAGGGACACGCACACGCAGGTGAGCACCATGTGCAGCCGGCTGCGCAGCAGCGGCGCAGTGAACTTGGCCGCCGTGGAAACGCAGACCAGCAGGACGGTGGCGATGGCCAGCATGATGTTGATGAGGCGGCCCAGCAGCACCTTGGCGTCGGTGTTCTCCAGCTGCACCGTCTGCTGCTGCTGCTGCTGCTGCAGCTCCAGCTTTGAGACGCGCGTCTGACACGTCTCCAGGACCTCCTGCACGAGGCAGAGGTCAAAGGTCAGGTTAGATATCCCCGCAGAACTGCAACCTCCGGCTTTTACGATGTTTTCGAACACAGATGTAAAAACAAATGCAGGTTTTTGCTGTTTTTCATGGAATAACTGCACTACATTTCCACAACATTGATAGTAAAAAAGTACCAGCAACATTTATTTTATTTTTAAATTTTTTTTTTTACATTAAATTACAGATTTTAACATGCTGCAAAAACAGCTTATGTTCAGATGTTTGATCTAAGCATCCAAAAACTTTTATTTATGTAAAAAAAAATCTAATCTAAGCAGAAGCTGCAAACAATGACAATAAAGCAGCCGAGTTTAATAAAGGGACACTTTCTCCAGAACTTAATATCTGACTTATGCTTTGAACTGTAACAAGACTAAATACAGTCATAACAGGAATAATTGTTATTATTATAACAGTTTCAGTCTCTCAGACTGTGGAAACCTTCCTGTGCCAGAAGGAATCAAAGTCTAAACATTGTGCGGACAAAAAGCTAAAACTTTCAGCAGTAAAACCATAAACAGTGATTATTTTATAGTGGCTTTTATTTTGTAGCTTGTAAAAATGCACTAAAGTTGTTTCAGTTAACTTCACGGATGCAAACTTTCTGCTTCTCCACATTTGAATGACGTCATTTGAAACAGGCTTAAAATCCAAACAACACATTTTTATATTCAAGTTTAAACATTTTTCATGTCTAGCAGCCAAACTCTTTATGAGTTATTTCTGATATAGATCCAGCTTGTGACTTTTGTTATTGTTTATTACCGAAGACATTTAAGAAAAGTTTTATTGTTGTTAAAGAATGCTTTCAGCTGTCACACTGGTTTGTATTTCTGCTGGAAAATGTTTGTTTTATGTTATAGTTTTGATTTAGAGTTGACATTTTATGGTGCAGTTTTGCAAGTTCAACTCAAATTTAAGACTTTAAAATAATTTTTGAAACCATGATGAATGGAGTTTAAGTTTTATATCTCCACAGAAATGTCTGAACTTTGTCCAACTGACTGGATTTTCTCAGAACAGATGCAGAAAGTTAGCTACTCGCTTATCTACTGCTTATTCTTATTCGTGTTAAACATGGGGAACCATCATGTAGTTTCATACTTTTCCGTATCTCTTATGGTTTTGTTGTTTTGTTTATATTTCCTTTTGTTTTTGTTTTGTTCTTCTGCTTGTTTTGCTTTGTTTGTATTTCCTCTAGTTCATGTGAAGCACTTTGAATCGTCTTGTTCCTGAAAATGTACCTTGTAAATAAAATGACCTTGACATTACCTGTCTGGAGTTGCTTTTCAACCAACATAAATTGAACAGTGATCAATGTGTTTCATGCATATTGATGATTTTAACTCGACCAAATGCAACGTCTGTAATTGTTGCTGAAATGTCCTCTACAAATAAACTTTAATAGTCTTTTGATTTTTCATCTTAATAGAAACATAATTCCCCCTAATCAATGGACGTTAGCGAACAGAAGGTCAGTTTGATTCAAGGATCATTTGTTGTGTGTTCAGCAGCAGCAGCAGCAGGTTCGGGTACCTGGATGTCTCTGGCCCGTTCGTAGGCCTGGTAGGCCATCTTCTCCTCGATGCTGGCCAGCTCCTGCTTCAGGTTACTGGTCTCGTGCTGGTGCAGCTCCGTCAGGTCGTTCAGCTGGTCCTCCAGGCGCTCACACCTGGCAGACGCACGCAGGGAGTCGAGGACAGAGTCAGAAAAGAAAGAACGAGTGTGTGTTTGACGTAGCAACAGTCTGCTGGTTTGTGTGTTAAGGTTTTAGCATCTAGCAGCTTCTAAAACGGACAGTTAAACTGTCAAAGCTCACAGCAAACAACTCCTGCTTACTGTAATCCGAGACAAACATCTTAAATTTAAACATCTTCATCTTCAGCTCAAGAGATAAGACAGCAGATATAAAGGTTTAAATTAATCAAATTAATGTTTGCTCAGGTGGAATGATTTTACAACAAACAAATCTAAAATCCAATATTTCAGTTTCAGCTCATATTTCAGTTTTAACCTCAACAGATTAAAGGTTTTAATATTTCATAAAAGGTCAACTTTGTATTCTTTTGTGACCGACCTCTTTCTGATTTTCAAATATCTCATTCTGTTCCAAACAGAAAAAGTTTTTGTTTTTCTCTCATTTATTTCATTTCTGAAAATCTGGCAGACAGAGAAGGGAGAGTGATGTAACACTGCTCTGTCCCGACGTTATTTTTTGTATTTTTTTGACTGTTTTCAATCTTTCGATGCATAGAAAAAGAGCAGCTGTTGCTTGTTGTGTCAATGGGGCTCAGCACTGCCCCCTTTCTGCTTCACCTTGTGCATTTTAACTGCGTATTTAAGGCCAATTAGAAAAGATAAACATGTCACTTACATTTTTTATTTGTATTAAACAAACTTTGAAATATCAACATATGTAAAAGATGTGAAATTAAACTATACAGGCGATACGAAGAGAAACAGCTACAGATGGATCTGCTGAAATTATCTGTTTTGTTCATTATGTGTGACACAGCGCCCCCAGAGGTGAGACACAGAACTGCACTGCTTTCATGTATTTAAAAAAACTAATTTATATAAAAGTCAAGCAGTGATTTAAATTTTCTCTCATCCCTGCTAGCATCTATTTCACTTCTTGTGTATTTAACTTGTAAGGACTAAAGGCTCTTAAAGAGTTGATATAATGAATCCTAACACCATGTGTGACAACATGAGTTTTGAGCCGACAGTCAGTGAATGAAGCCGGTTGTTTCTACAAAACACAAACAAAACACTGAACACTGCAGAAACAAAATCTTACCAAGTATTTTTGGTCTAATTCCAGGGTAAATATTTTGGTATATTTGCAATAAGACAAAACTAATTTACAAGTAACTTTTCAGCAAGACTTGGAGGCAACAACATGGGAAAAATGGCGTCATAAGTAAAATAACCTGTCTGGAGAACTTTTTCTATCAGTATAAAGGAATTGTTGACATAAGTAAGCTAGTTTTTTCTCTTGTTTTAAACAACATTGGCTCTAGAAACTGGACCAAATCTTGGTCAGATCTTGTTTGCAGTGACCCTCAGTGGTTCTTCCTGCGCTGCTCACCTGTATCTCTCCTCCTGCATCACCTGAGTAAAGTAGGAGTAGTCTCTTTTGAACTGCGTGTTCATGGCGTCCATGTCCTCAGCCAGCTGAGTCTGAGCGTCCCTCACCTCCCGCACCATGTCCAGCACCTCCATAAGGCGTCCGCTGAATTCGGACCTCCCTGCACCCACCGACCCGGTCCCAGAGCCCCCCGCCGGGTTCCCGTTGGAGTCGGCCGACCCCGACGTGCCGCTGGAGCACTCGTCATCGCTGTGGTACTTGGAGGGTTTGGCGACGGTGTTGGCGCTGCCGCTCAGACCTCGGGACGCCCCCTCCGCGTGCAGCCCTGAGCCGCTCTCCATGGAGCTCTTCAGATGGGCGATGTTGTCGGCGCTGCCGAACTTGTTCTTGATGAGGTTGGCGATGCCGCGCGGCTTGTTGAAGAAGAACGGCGGCGTGAGCGAGACGCCGGGGCCGATGGTCTTGATCTTGTCCAGCGCCGAGTGTCGGCCGGAGGAGCTGATGTCCCGCAGGCTGTCGTCTTTGCTGCGAGAGGCCGACTCCTTGCTGCTGGTGCTGCTGCTGTCCTTCTGGCTGTGCTTGCCGTGGTTCTCGTCGTCCTTCATGCGCCGGTGGTACTGTTCCAGCTTCTTCTGCAGATTAGTGATGGACTGCGCAGACTTCTGGTTCTTCTTCTCAAACACCTGGCGGATCCGGGAGACCTGCTGCCTGTCGGCGTTGTTCACCAGCTTCAGGTACTCTGCCACGTTCTCGTCCCGCGCCTCCTGCTCCACCCTGATCTGCTCCGTCACCTGAAGTTAAAACCAGCAGGAGGAAAGCCGGTCATAATTATTGCTCGACATTTCTCCTGTTTCGCTCATCAAACCCTGGAGACGCTCAGAGGGTTCAACTCGCTCTGTCGCAATAATCAATTAATCAAACTCAATCATTTTCATTTGCATGATTTATTGTTTCTCTCTTTTTCTACCAAGAACTGGTTGACAAACAGTTTTGACACTCTAAAATAAAGCTGTAACATAACGAAGTTTATCTGGATGTGAGTAAACGCACCTTGAGGATCTTCTGCTGCAGTCGGTCGATGCCGAGCGCTCCCTTTGTAAAATCCACGCCAACGCCATCGACTCCAACGCTGTCCACCACATCCAGGTTGGACTCTGAGGCGCCGCGTCGCATCGGCACCGGGATGCTGAGGCTGTTGCCATCGCTGCCGCTGCGCTCTGCCTGTGGACACAGAGACGCCTCGGACTCAGCATTAAAGTCCCAATAACATGAAGAAATATTACAAATATTTGCTATAAATTGTTCCCAGTGTGGAGGAACGAGGAAATAATTAAGAGATCAGGCCTGCAATTAACGATTATCTTAGTAAACAATTATTCTGATGATTAATCAAATAAAAATATGGCACATCCTACAGATTTGTTATTTAACTGCGTCAGAATTTTTATTCAACATTAAAAATACCTTAAAAGATGCAAATAAACAAATAAATTGATTCTTTTATAATAAACATTTCATGCTGTACTTATTTCATAGGATTGTTTATTTTGTTATTTAAGAAAGAAACTGAATTATTTTTGTTAATTGCATCATTAATGAATTTCTAATATTGTATAAAGTTTTAAGTTTTTTGTTATTAATCGATAACTATAAAATAATCGTGGATGTTTGTGGAGGTTTTCTCTCCTCCCTGTTCTGCCTCCTAATGAGTTCATCTAAACTGAGGAGAGAGTGGAAGATCTCCAGAATGCAGAGCTAAACATGAATACCAAATGTGAGGATTCTTCTGTTTAGAGAGCCGATAAAACGGGCAGTAAATCTGTTTTACGGCTGCAGAGCAGCGAGGAGCCCCGGAGCTCCAAACAAACAGCCTCCGGTGATTCTTGCACCGACAAAGGCAGAGGATTACATAAGAAAACCTAAAATCGTACTAATTCTGGTTGCCAGGGAAGCAAAGCAAAGCGAGCTGCTGACATCCCCCCGAAGGCGGCTTTTTATCCCCCTCCCAGAGAGACGGGCTGAATACGTGACACTGTAATTGTGTCCCGTGGTTGAGAGCAAGACAGTGTGTGGCGCAGCCTGCAGAGTCAGCATTCATCATCCATCACAGGCTCACAGCATCGAAACACAAACGCAGCATGTTTGGATGAAAACACAGACAGATGTAAGTCTGGATCCACCATCCCACATCATCGGTTCAACACCAACCTGTTTTCCTTCAATTCAGAGTTGATGGGGTGTGAAGGACGTTCTACAACTTTAATTATTACACAGTTTTAACTATTTCCTTGTTAAAGTTAAAGCAAGGCTTCTGTTTACAGTATAACCAGCCTGGTCGGCTAAGAAAGAAAGAAAGCTTAGAATTACATAAGAGGAAACAGTTGTAGGTTTACAAACCTCAGTGAGGTTTCTGTGTCCAACCTGGCAATTACCCAACTAAACACTGCAGTGGGGAGTATACAGATAAAAAACTTTATTTACTAAATCTGAACAGACTGCAATAAAATGCTTCAAGAATGTGCATATTTCAGAGCTAAAACATCTACAAATATTAAAATAATACGAAATAAATTATTATATAATGCTTTTTTCTTGATAAACACTTTTTGATGGCATCAAAAGCCTCTCAGGAAGTGAATACCATATATGGATAATTAGCCAGACCACCAATCAGCTGCAGTTTATAGGAAAATGCTTTGTTTTATGCAACATGTCTATCCTCAAATAACATTAATTCAATAACTTCTTGTTCCAAACTATTCAGTCAAGATGCTAGCTGCAGCCCATCGACTCATGAGCTACAACAGACTGGTTATGTGGAGAAAAGTGAGGCTTACATAATCACTACACAGCTTTCCAATCTATAGAAGGCTGTTCTGGTGACAGTAGTTGAACGGCACATCAGAGGAACAATGTTGGTTTTATTCACAGTTTGTGTCACAAGCGTAAATTCTCCACCAGGTTCAATGGCAGAGCACTTTTAAATGATTCCGTAGAGTGCCGGTTTATTAGGTCTGACTCACAGACATTTCTGTTGAGCATTTCATCCTCTCCTGACAAACCACTGATTAAATATTTACTTTATGGAATTAAATTCAAGCTGGAGACTTTGCTGTGCAGTAAATACTTTTTATCTTGTGTGTTCATTGTGTTGCACAAGTTGGGGGATTCAATAAACATCATCACTCTGCTACTTCTGTCTGTAATCGCAGCTGTTTTGTAATCCCCTAGTTTTTATTTTCTTTTATACTTTCTAAAAAGACAAACAAGAGAAATTCTCCTCGGGTTCAGATATGAGAAATAATCCATAACAAAACCCAAATATTTGCTCCAGCATCTGCATCTCTGCCTCTCATACCTGGACAGTCGCTGCGTTGTGTGTCTGCGCTCCCTGCACGCGTTTAAAAGTAGGTCTGAGGGCACACAGCGAGCATATGTCTGAGAGGACGCACGTGCCTGTTTTAGAGAGCAGATATCTGGTCACGTCTCACGATGCGAGCCCGGTCTGCACTCTGGGCAGTTAGAGAATTATACAGATGGATGGACATGGAGCCAAAACACACAAGGACGTGTCCCCATGGGAAACAGGGAGGCTGCATGCATGATGTGGCGACAAAAATTAAATAAAGAAGAATTTAAGCATGAACATTTAAGCATGATCTGAGCTTTTTCATTGCAAATAAAGAAGCAATCATTCAATGCAAAACGACTCAGGCAGTTCAGTTACATCTCCTCTGGTTACTGGGTTCATAATGTACAAGTAAAAATCTCACAAGTTCTGATTTCAGAAATGTGACCTGTGACCCATAGAGATACTCTGTGAGAACAGCTGCAACATAAACAAGTTGATGAAAAGATATTTTCTCACCACCTGAATGTTAACAAAGAAGAAGACCTGAAGGGATCCTGAGGCTTTTGAATTATTGAGCAAAGCGAATCGTTAAAGCAGCTAAAAAGTGAGAAAGTTTTATTGCAGCTGTCTCAGAGAGAGCAGGCGGATCATTTAGGTTAAATGACCCGCCTGTATAAACTGCTGCAACCTTCATGGTTGCAGTTTATGCTTAATTTCCATTCAGTTAAGTCCAATAAGTGGATGGATAATATCTCACCCTGAACACTTCAGCTAGTTATCATTATTAATACGCTTAAGTGAGTTTTCCAATTATTAAATAAGATCTTTTTGTTTGATTTTGCACCAATTGGCAAAAGTTTGGACATTGCTGGTTGTTTATCTTGGTAAAATTAGAGTTGATTTCATTTCATTTTCCTTCTGTTTCATGATTATGCTCAACTTTGTGTTGGTCTATCCAAACAAAATACATTGGAACAAACTTTGATGGATGGTGAATTGTCCCAGAAGTTATTGCGATAAACAATAATGTTGCTGTTTTGAGACCATTTTCAAGTAATCTAATGGTAACGGCGTAATAATGCAAATGAACATTTAACACTAGAACTGGAAGACATTTTATATATCCAGAATAAAAAACAAAACAACAGAAATAAGTAAAATGAACACTAAAATCTCCGTAAGCAAAATTATCTTTCAAAAAAAGGGCTAGCAGAGACCAAACCACCAGACTGAAGACTTTTGTCATCCAGATTTTGGTAGAAAGAAAGAAAAGAGAAAGATTATAAATTACCACAGGCCTAATTGGAGTTTGTGTGTTTTATGTAGCAAATGTACATGCAGCAAAAGATGCAGGATGAGCCAGAAGGCAAAGAGGTAGTTTGCATCAGGTTTTTGTATTCAAACTAAATGATTAGAAACATGAGCTGTACATGAAATATACTCAAAGTCTGGCAGCTGATCTGGCCTCAGGGAGTCAATGGCAACAAGGAGGAAAAACAGGAAATCGCCAGGGGGAAAGAAAAAGCTCCTTTAGTTGGTCCCCATACGGAAAGGTGAGCCATTTACACCGGCCTGCTGTTTTATTTTCCACCGACACAAACCGGAGGAGGAAACAAATCCAAAACGAGGAAACCGTAAACAACACAACATAATCCCTGCCCTGTCACTCGGCTCATCAGCGCCAGCCGCGAAAGGCTGCAGCATTTTGTCAAAAACCAATCAGCTTTTCGCGGTTTAATGGACAAATCAATCCTGGACATTTTTCCATCAACTCCAGGCTGTTTGTGGGGAATTTAGAGCTGCTTTTTCTTCCCATAAGCACCGATCGTCAATGTTATTTAGCGAGTGTCAACAAGGCGCCACAGGAGGCTTTGGAGTAGGAACTTCACCGCTGCAATGAATATTAATGAGCTGATGGGACGCTGAGAAAACGTTCAGGGTCCAGTGGAAGAAAGCCAACAAAAATAAATAGTGTATTTGTTAATAAATGTTAATAAATAAATGCTTAAAAACACAGTCAATGGACCGTCAGCTGTCTAATGGTGTTGGAGAGACATCTGAGAGGCAAAACAATTAATTAGGTGCTCTTGATTCTGGGACAAATGAGTGCTTAGAGCACTGAGTGTGACAGATTACACCACATTAGTCATCCATTAGTGGGCCCGAACCCCGCGCTCCGTCTGAACCGGTGAGCCAGATTAACACTGGCAGGGCTGAACTGGTGTGTTGGAGCGCTGGGCAGGAAGTAATGGGATTGGGCGAATCCCGATCGGGAGATTTAGAGGGCGAGGTGTTTATAAGTGGGTTAGTAAAGACAATCGCAGGAATCTGTCACATTAGCAACAGAGTGGAGTCATGTGGAGCAATAACCGCCTGGGACGGAGCAGCAGACCAGGACTTAACGTAACCAGGATAACGATACTCAAACACAGAGAAAAAACAAGAAAACAAACTGAGTTTACACATCAACAGGAGAGTTAGGTTTCATAGTGTATGTGCTGAAAACAGACCAATTTGATAAATTGGAATATAAATGGAAAGGGTGATGAATTTTTAGGTTTAATGATAATAAACTGTTAATTTCACCATAAAAGATGGGAATGTGTCCACAGAAAACACTCAGTTCAAGCTGAAATCTAACTAACTTCAACAGTTTTTGTCCAACAAATCTTTTAAGACTTGTAAATGTCCCGTGAGCCTCCATTACTGCTAATAACTAAATACATTTCTATAAACTCAATCGCAACTTTGTGTTATCGGTTAAACAGCAAGTAGACCCTTCAAAATAAAAGCCTAGAGTCATGAACAAACTCAGTTCACCAAGTGAAACACATTATAAAGATTAATGGCACAAATATGTTTAATCATT